CTAAAAAGATGTTATTAATTTAATAATTGTTTAATTTTTCTGTTTTATTTTACATGGTCATCATAATTTTTAATAATTTATAGATTGAAAAAATATATTTCGTTCATATGAACGTTCAAAACTTTCGGCTCATTATGATTCAAATAAATTATATTCGGTTCGAATAATAAATTTTTATAATAAAAAGAATGAAAAAATAAATAAAGATGGAAATATTCGAGTATAAAATAAAATTTTTCTCCGCGAACTATGAGATGAAATAATAAGATATAAACTATAAATTATTTTTTTTATTATAAATTAACACACAACAATATTAAATTGCAGGGACAATTTTAATTATTTTACTTTGACATTTATAATTATAAATTTTTTAGAAAAATATCATTTCTATTTTTATTATAAAAAGAAGTGTCTCTTATTATTTCAACTGATGTAAGCTTAAAAACAATTTATTAAATCTCGCACTTTATTATATTTATAGTTTATGAACTTTTATCATTTTTTTTTAAATATCCTCGTTGTTTTTTTAATTAAAAAATTCTTTTATTAAAAAAAATTTTTGTTTAAAAAAATTTTTATATTGTGAAAATAAATTTTTTTAACGTAATCACCATATACACTAAAACTAAACTATCTTAGTCGCGAATTAAAGCTCAACTGCGGTTGACAAGGTGGATGAAAGAGACTCTGACTTTGGCACGAGAAAGAAGTCTTGTCTATTTTAATAATTTGAAGAAAACAGAAGCAGAATGTTTATAACTGAAAATACATCGATCTCTAAGATTGCATTTATAAAAATTTTACTTATTTTAAATTTTATGTGACTGATACTTAATACATAAATTAATTAAAATTTAATTTAAATTTTTATAAAAATAAAATTATATAAAAAGTTTTAATAATTGAAACAAAATTGCTTCTATTTCTTATTCTTATTTAAACAATATCAACATAAAATTAATAATTATTGTTAAATAACAATTTTTCTTTAATATAGATATATTATTTACAAGACTCACGTGAGAAGCGAGATGTATGATATGCGGTCGCATGTTTCTTTGTTTCATATTAAATTACTTAAAGTAACAATTAATTTTTCTTTCGCGTGTAATAAATTGTGTCTACTCGTGCTCTTCCCGCAGACTAAACGTCTCTAAGTCTCTCCTAATCATTATTTTGATAAAAACATTTTTTTATTTTATTTTATCATTTAAAAAAAAAAAATTTTTTTATCAAATTCACTGTGAAAAATTTTATTTTAAAATCAATTTTAATAGAATATTTTAATTATTAATATTTTTTAATGGATATAATAACGGGTTGGGTTATAAACAATAAAGAAAAATAGAGAGAGAAAAGTCACACACTATACACATATGGGTAATAACAACATATGCGTTGTGCCATAGAGACATCGTCACGACAAATGCATTTGACGTCAAAACAGTTGCATATTTATGCATCGTAACTAAACATTCTCTGATTCAAAATTGTGTTTCTGGTACACACAAACTATTTACAAGTGATTGAGAATAATTGTCCTTTGTTAATTTTTCAACTCTATTAGAAATATAACGAATTTCGTGGTTTTTTTTTATATCAAAAAAATTTCTCTACAACAAAAATTTGTTATACAAAATAATAAAATAAAATTTTCAACTATTTTTTTTTTTTAATTAATAAAATTAAAATTTTACCACAAATCAAAATTATCTGATTTATATCAACAAAAATATATGAATTAATGAAAAAACATGATACTATTTATAATTTCTTTTTCTTCTATGAATGGAAAATAGTTTTCGTGACATATTTGACTATACGGATTATGTATATTCGAAAGCCACGGGTCTCCCCTATGTTACCCAGCGGTTATTCCGCCATAGAAATAATTTCAATGAAATACTAGTTGGGAATTTAATGAGTTTGCTTTTGAGAGGTCTCTTGCCAGTTCTAAGAGGTCGTCGGTGTGCTCTTGCTTCGATATCGCGAAACTATTGACCTCATTTAAACAGCCGTCTTCTGTCACGCTGACATCAGTTTTCCAGCTAATTCTCTATTTTTCCTTCTCTTTTTCTCTTTCTATTTTTTTTTTTTTTTTTTTTTTTTTTTCAAAACCCGGAACGTTTCTTCGCATAAACCCAACAGGCAATATCGTCTGAGAATTCGACGATTTTTCATCGTTTTTTTTTCTCTCTCTCTCTACTCGTTGGCTATAACGAGATTTTCCCATGACTTATTATAAGCCAGACCTCCAAGCGCACTTTTCTCAAGGACACTTTTAATTTAGTTAAAAATATATCCACAGTCACGAAAACAATTTTTTTTTTTCTTTAAAAATTTTTCACAAGATTTGTTTAATGTATATATAAAATAATTAACTACATCTATACATTGAAAAAAAATAATTATTTGATCCAAATAATCGTTACTTGCTTATTATCAAATAAAATAATTTGTTTTTCGTAGTTACGATAATAATAAAAAAAAAATATCAAATATTTATTTGGATCAAATAACATTTATTAATTTAATTAATATTAATTCAATATTTGAATAAAAATAAATTTTTTCCTATATTTTAATTCTACTTTCTAAAGTGAAAAATAAAATTTTTTTAATCACATCTATAGGCAAATAGAAAATGTTAATTAAAAACTGTCGACGATTTAGAAAGTTGTATTTTTTTGTATAATTTATTAAATTGAAATAAGAGCATAAAAGCCAAATATGTTCTTTTCGTATAAATCTCAGATGATCTCTCTCTCTCTCTCTCTCTTTTTCTCTCTTTTCCTCTCACTAAAGAATAATAAAGTATATCCTGCGGGTAAAAATCACGTCATAATTAAACGAGCTCGAGTCACATAGTTTGTCAACAAAATATGAAAAGTATACAGTGTTTGCTTTTAAAAAATATGAGACCAACAGAAGCAACTCTATATATTATGATTTCAGCCACTGACAAATCAACTCGAATTAAACGTAATTACTTGCGTCAGATATATGATGCGGGGTGCCATTAGTATCACTGTCTTTCTCTAACAGGCAATTTTTATCGATTATTTCTTTTTTTTTAATTCTCATATAACTTTATAACAGTTTTGCTTCAGCCCTCGAAATATAATTTTTATATATATTGCTTTTATAATATTCGATATAGAATAATAATAAAAATAATAATAATAATAATAATAATAATAATAATAATAATTTTCAAAGGAATTTCTAAAGTTTTGAAAGTTAAAATAAAAGTTAATTAGAGTATAAGGTTATTAACTTCTCGATAAAAAGAATTTAATTTTTAAATGCTTTCTATTAAATATATAATAAGCAACTTTTTGCTTATTCGTGTTAATTGAATTAAAAGATAATTCTATAACAAGAAAATCGTTCACGATGTTTAACTTTCTATTAATAATATCATTCACTAAATTAAAAATTGTTGTCAATAAATTTTTTAAAAGCGTTCATAAAATTTAAATGGACTATACTATAATAAAAAATAACTTTTACAAATAATAATAAATCATTTTAATTTAAAATTATTTACTTTAATTTAAAAGGGAGTTTGCAAAAAAAAAAAATTCAAATTTTATAAAAATTATTCGAGTTAAAGAATATGTTGCTCAAGATGCATTCGTCCTTGACTCCTCAATATGTTCTGACCAAAAAAGGACCAAACACTGGTCCAGGTCCCAATTCAACGTGACTTGAATCTTTCTTATTTTGCTTTCAGTTCGCAAAAAAAAAAAAAAAAACAAATATTCTCAAAGATATTAAAAGAAATACTGATTATTTATATCAATTAATTAGAAATTCCAGGGAAAAATAAATATTTAATTATTATTATTATTAATTTGCATTAAATATTTAAGCGTTTTGAGAATTAAGAAAAAAAAAATTAATATTATTGTGTTTATAAAATTGACATGAAATTCTAATAACATTGTCACATTTTGTAAAAGCGTTTTTGTTAATAATAAGCCAGTGAGATTTACTGCAGGTGAATAATTTCCTCTTTCATCAAAATGGAATATTAAAGCGCCTTTATGGAATTTAACAGGCAAAGTGGCTAGGAAAGGAAACGAACTAATTAGAAAGCGAGAAAACAAGAACGATTTTGGTGTAAGAATAGTACGAACATGTCCCTCAAAGGGTGGTTTCATCTGACCCCAAATTTCCTTTCTTTTAATTATCTAATGAATTAATTTCATTATAAACCTCCATCCCTCAAAAAAAAAAAAAAAAAAAACAACAACAACTTGAAACGAAGGAAAATAGTGTTTCTAAATAATTTATAATTAATTTAAAATTAAAAAAAAAATTGCTAATAATTTTGAAATATAAAAATATTTTTTATGTCATAAATTAAGTATATTCAATCTATTGTCAATTTCAAATTCTCTCCTTTTTCACATATTATATATAATTTTTTGCCCACTCAACACTTTTCTTAAAACAAAACTTCTCGAGACTTCCTAGATTATCGATTGACACTCGGAAAATTTAAGAAAACATGAAAAACAATTTTGCCGAGTGATTAAGATCCAAAGAAAAATTAAAAATAGAGCCCCCTTGATAAATGAAAATTATGCACTTCTAAAAAAAAAGAGAAAAAAATCAAAGAAGGAATCTACGAAGAAAGAGAGAAGAAAAGGTTTCGCTCCCGCCCGAGCACTAACACATATGCTTTTGACATTTTATGTCCGGCGTCTTTTATGAAGTAACAATCAACACACAGTGTTGATTATTGTCATATACGTAACTGATACTTGAGATAAAAATAATGTCTTTCATCCCCTATGATAAAAATACTAACATCTCTGATAATTCTAGATAAGAATACAATAAATTGTGAGTTGACAACACAATACATACATACATACAAATATATATAGATATATATATATATATATGCTCATGTTCCTGGGAATCTCGTCCCGATACCTATATAGAAACTATATTTTCGCAATTGTAGATTTAGATTTGTCACTCACCTGGACATTTTTCGGACTTGGGCGTTGACGCCATTGTTCTCCCGTCTCTCGTTCTCACCAAGAACAACACTATCTCACCATTTTTGCAACCGGCCGCCCTGTAAACCACGCACTAAACGCGATTTAAATCTAATGTAAACTCGACGTGCACCGCTACATTTTCGTTTGTCGACCATTTTTGTTTCACCAACACTTCGCTGACATCTAGAGGCGAAAACTTGAAACTTCATCTTGATTTGAATTTTTGAGGTTAGAATTCCTCAATTTTTAATATTTCTGCAATCAAAAGTTATTTTTATACACATATACGAAATAATCACTTATTTGTTAATATTAAACAAAAGGTATAATATTTTAATATCTCAAATTAGTAAAACTACGATGCAAAATAAAAAAAAGAAGACAAATTCATTCATTCAATACGCCATTGTCGGGGAACTACTAAACTAAAATAGAAACGAACCCTAATGTTTTTACCGTTGGTTATCGATAGTTACGTATTGTTCGTATTTCACCATTATTCACGTTAATAATTTCGTCAATAATTTTTGACAAGTAACACGTCTGTCATTGATTTGACATTTTTTTACTAATTTTTGGTTTTAAAATTACCTTGTTTCTTGTGATTAGAAGAAATTCTAAATATACATTACTTGAGGAAATTGACAATATATCAAATTAAGGAATTCAAAACCGGGAAATTAGTGAAAAAAGTGAAACTTCAGAAAGTACAGTCCGTATAAAAAATGAACACGTGGTACAGTCGATATAAACAATGAAAGTTTGTTTTAAATTCTGAATTTTATAATAAAATATAAAATTATAAATCAATCTTAAGTTTTATAATAAACTTAAAAAATTGTTCTAGGTTAGAATTTTCCTAAACTGAAAATTAAAAAAAAAAATTTATAATCATGGGAAATTCTGGATTAAAACAACATTATGAGACAGCAAAAAAAACTGGAACTTTGACACTTTCAAAAAGAAAATTAGATGAATTTCCACAAAATTTACAAGCCCTGACACCATTGCTACGTACATTGGATATTTCGGAAAATAAATTCCTTCATCTTCCTGTGGAAATAAAGGCTTTCACTTTACTCAAACATTTGAATATAAGTCATAATAAAATTGTCGATTTACCCGAGGAAATGGGTGTATTATTAAAACTTGAGAGTTTAAATGCAAGTTCAAATCAATTGAAAATGTTACCATTTTCACTATCGAAATTAACGAATTTAAAACAAGTTAATCTCTCTGATAATTGTTTAATGGAATTTCCATTAATGTTTTGTGGTTTAAAACATTTGGATGTTTTGGATGTATCGAAGAATAAATTAACACACGTTCCTGATGCGGCATCATCGCTTCATGTTACTGAATTGAATTTAAATCAAAATCATATTTCAATTATTTCAAATAAATTAGCCGAATGTAAAAGACTAAAAACATTGAGACTTGAAGAAAATTGTCTACAAATAAATTCAATTCCTGCAACAATTTTAAAAGATTCAAAAGTTTCTGTTTTGGCACTAGATGGAAATCTTTTTGAAATGAAACAATTTGCCGATCTTGATGGTTATGAAAACTACATGGAACGTTATACTGCTGTGAAAAAGAAAATGTTTTAAATTCTGATAATTCTCAGCCAAAATTGCGGATTAGATTTTACAGAGTTTATTTTAAATCAATTTTTTAAAGCAATTGAGTTTTTATTAATTAAATCCAATGATTATAAAAATTAATTAGAAGCATAATAAAACATAATTTACATAAGAGTATCAATTAGAAATGTATTAATTAAAAGTATTAAAACATATATACTTTTGATCTTTTTAACATTTCTATTTTTATATATATATATTTATATCAATTTTAGATTTTTCACAAACTCTAGATGTTTTCTTATATACAGTGTATATGTAAATTGTGAATATTATCAATGTACAAAGTTATGTAAAAATAATGTATTTCCTTATACTCACAACAAAATATATTATTTATTTTTTGTTAAAAAATTTTAAACTTTTTTTCCATCAACTCAAAAAAAAAACGTTTATAGTTATTTTTTAAAAAGAAAAATATCTTTTTGTACAAAAAATGATTTTGCAAATAAATAAACCCAACAGAAAAAACTATGTCCTAAAAAATCTCCTTGGATAAGAGGATTGGGGAAAAGCATTAACTTTTTAACTGGTAGATAAAAATCAATCATAAATTTTACTTTCACTTTGAAAAGAGTTTAAATTTTAAATGCCCAGTAGGTATGAATGTGCGAACAATTAAGTTATAAATCACAAATGAGTAAAGTCAAGTTCAGAACTGGTCACCAAAATAATTTATGGCATCGAAGGGGAATTTTGAAGGCTCTTTGAAAAGTAAACATAGCAAAAATGTGGCAGTATCTACAAGAGACAAGGAAACAGTACAACTTTAGTTTTTTTTTCTTCTATAAATAAAAAAATTTGAATTTTTATTTCAATTTAAAAAAAGAACCGGTTTCTAAATTTTTGTCAAACATTAGAAAAAGATTCATAGAAGGAAAAATTGTTTATACTAATTAGCCTCAAATTCTAGGTTCCGAATTTTGGAGGTATCCAACAAAGACGTAATTAGTATTTTCGAGACCCTTAGAATACACATTTACTTCGAGTATTGTTAAATAGTTTTGTTTTTGTATATAAAAAAATTCTATAATAATAAGGTATAAAATTTTTGTTTAACAAGTTAATTTTAAGGTTAGGAAATTGAATTTTTCAAAATTAATAAATTTTCACTGTGAAATCGTATTAAAAACTAAATATAGCTTACATTTTCCAAAAAAAATTGTATACAAATTGGAAAATAAGAGAAAAACAACAAATATGAATACTTACAAATTTTGAGGTTAGGATGAAAGCGACGAAAAATGTAAATAATTCGATTGTAAAATAACTCTAATCACTGGATTTTAATTATTTTCAAGACAATAATTATTCAAGAAAACTAATATTTTTGAATAAAGAGTGTGGCCCAGTAAGAGAGATATACGCTCATGACTTTTCGAGCTCAGTGACGAACAGTGTGCGCTTGAACCCAGCGGTGCCTGGCAAGTGTTTCCTCGAAAATGGCGGACGGTGCTGATTCGAATTTTCCGAGCACACGATGAAAGTCCGCCGAATTTTTAGCACCCACATTCTTTTTTGAGTTTTTCTGAGTTTCGTGAAATTCTAAAGGGTTCCTAATCCCATTTTCATAGTTGTGTGCACGCGATTAAACTTCGTTAAAACAGAAAAAATTAAGTCGCGCGGGATTGTGTATTCAGTGGAAGGTGGCGGGGACCCCCATAAGTAATAAATGGCTGACCGGAGTTGTAAAATAAGTAGCAACTAAATCACGAATGAATCCAGAGCCAGATAAATAAGGTATGAAATTATTTTTAATAGTTTTAAGATTAGAATTATTGATCTGTCAATGAGATGTCGATACTCTAAAAGATCGTCTCCAAGGAGAAACCCGGTACCTTTTGGAGACCTAAGCAAGGGTTGAACCTCTCGTGATCCGCCTATGTGATTGATTGAAATGAGGGGGGTGGGTTTTTTTTTGCATACATTTTTCCCAATTGTCCCAAGAGTTCGTTACTCCGAAATAAAAATTTCCTTTTTAGAAGAAAAAATGTAATTATTTCAAATACAAACTTTCCTCTTGGGTACCATTGGTTTTTAATATGGTGTTTCGATCATATGGTTGCAGCTTCCTCGCGGAGCATTTTCTCCAGCCATTAAGGATTTTGTTTTTATTGCTTGTTTTTTTAAGGCCAAGGGATATTTAGATTGATTTTAACGAGTGTTTTTAATATTCCCCTTTGACGTGGTGATTTCTATAGAAGAAAAAGAAGTATTCGAGAGCAAAAAATAAAATATATAATTTTGCTCCGAAATTTGTTGTGTTGTAATTATATTTGATATTTTTGCAGGTTCACCTCGGGGATAAAAATTCATGATAAATGGTCTTTAAAATCTTATCATATTCGTTTGACTCTTGGAATTTGGTTTATAAAAACTTTTATATATCTCATAAGTGAAATTATTAATTAGAAATTCTTTGGTGTAATTAAATGGGAAAATTTATTTCAAGAATAATATAAAATTATTACAAATAATTTTTCTATAAAGAATTAAATTCTTTAAATAATGTCATTAAAATACATTTATCAGAAATTGTCTTAGGAGATTAGTGATTTATTTACAGTTACGATAAGTTCTTAATAAAAAATGATTATATAGTGCACGATAATAAAGAGAATTTTTTCTTTAAACATATGTTTGAAGAAGACAAAAATTTTCTCGAAATTGAAAGTTATTGAAAAATACGATGAAACTTGCGCTTTCCAATGTCTATAAGGAGAAAATCGGATAACTGATTTCTCGAACAAAAACCTTCGTGAAAGCTAGGGGAAAATTCTTGAAATACCTGCTTGAAATAAAAGATCGTGAAAACATTTTTTATTCGAAATATTCACCTTGACATATAATTACGGAAGTAAAGAAGAAAGAAATTGGATTTTTATTTTTAAATGAGTTTAAAATATTTTATTTTTTCAATTAAAGGATAATGTCAGAACCCGAAGAATGTCCGGCAGCTCCGGACAGTACGACAAAGGAGCAACGAATAGGATTTTCTCATGGAGAAGATGTTTTTCTACAACTCAAAGATGGAAAATATTATTTGGGAACAGTTGTCGAGGTGTGTTTTTGTGTAATTTAAAATAATAATAAAAAAAGGATTAGAATTTCAAATTATAACTGATTTTTTGTTTTTAAATGATATATATTTTACAGGTGGATGTGGCGAGAGACAAGTGTCTCGTCAAATTCCTCGACAATACATCATCTTGGTCATCGGTCAAAGAGCTAACGAAAGTATCAACGACTGAATCCGATGTAATGTGTGTTCTTTGTAAAAAATCTCAACCCAAGACTGACAATGATATCATTGTTTGCGATAAATGCGGTCGCGGATATCATCAACTTTGTCATCAGGTATTCAAAAAAAAGAAAATTTTTTTTTTACGTTAAGATTAAATTTAAATATTTTAATTTAATTTAATTAAATGATAAGTAAATTTAAATTATTGTCTACAGAAATTTTTGGAAATTTATATAATTTTTCATTTCTTGTTTTTAGCCTCAGGTAATAAAAGAGGAAACACCTTCAGAAGCACATTGGGTGTGTAAAAGATGCATTGACAGTCAACCAAGACATGGAGAGCCTAAAAATTCGATGGTTAAAGCAAATATTAGAAAAGTTTGCAGTGGTCGAGATCAACCACCACCGCCTCCAGAAGACATGACGAAGTTACCTTATGACGTAAGTTTATTAAAAAAAAATCATCTCATTCGAAAAAAAATATATTTCGCTTTTGCCGAAAAGAAATTGGGAAAATATCTTTTTTTTCCAGCCGAACATGTTGAGCTGGGACTCTAATCACCGAGTGAATGCAGAACAAATTTATTGTTATTGCGGATTAAATGGCGAATGGTACACGCAAATGTTACAATGCGCTCGTTGTAAACAATGGTTTCATGAAAAATGCGTTAGCTGTTTAACGTATCCTCTCTACAGTGGAGACAGGTAATTAAAAAAAAAAAAAATTGTTAATATATTTAAAGAAAATAATTTCTTTAAAAAAATATTTCAGATTTTACGTGTTTGTTTGTTCAATGTGCAATTATGGCAAGGAATTTGTACGTCGATTAGAAATAAAATGGGTAGATTTGGTGCACCTGATGTTGTACAATCTAACGGTTTATAATGCAAAAAAATACTACGATTTGGACACTGTCATTGTTCCATACGCGAATGATAATTGGAATACTTTGCAGTTGCCACCTAGAGTAAGTTTTTATTTGTAAATTTTTTTTTTTATTTATTCAAAAATATAAATTCATTATGACTGATTTTTTTTTGCAGATTCGAGATGTTAGTCAACAGATTCGCAGAGATTCGATTCTCGAGATTTTAATTAGCAATAGAAATAGGTTTAAATGTGGTAGAGAAATAAAGAAGAGGACAACAATTTGGGGATTGAGAGTGAGATTACCGCCTCCATGTCCAGTTGTTTATCTTCCGGACACTGGTATAATTGATGATTCTGTTTTACGCCGTTGCTGGGGTGGAAACAGAAGACTGCAATACCTTCCACCTACTACTGGGCACGTATTTTTTTCTCTTTTTTTTTACTAATTAAACGAATTTTTAAAATGTTTAAAATTCTTTTTTTGTTTTTCAAAAATTGTTAAAGTTAAATTTGATTTTACAGACCGGTATTAATGCCAGAGAGTACAAAACCACTCATTGAAATAAAACAGGAAAATCTTGAAATTTCTGTTAATCCAACTGATGTATTAAGAGGCGCGATCTACCAAAATAGTGAAACAGGGCAAAGTTCTGATACAAATCTACCTAATCAATCGACAGAGGCTTTGAGAGAAAGGTACGAAATGAAATATTTGTAGGGTACTTGTTTTGAAATAAATATGGGCCTAATTAATTGATAAAAAAAATATTTTCATATTCAGGTACAGCGGAGGTGGTTTCGTGAAGAAATCGTTTCCATTTCCAAAATTAAGTTTGCAAAGAAGAAGACGTTTAATGGCCCTGGGTAGTTCTCGAGAGAGAATGCTCCGCAAACAGAAAAAAAGGGAAAAGGAAAATTCAGAATCGAATATTAAATTGCAATGTGTTCGTGAGGCGAGATACAAAAAGGCAAGAAAACTACTTAAAAACGCTATTGCCAAGGTAATTTATTGAATATGTTTTTTAATTTTAATTCTGATTATTCGTCGACAATTGAAAATTTGGGACAAATTTTAGTTTCTCAATAAAAGGATTAAAAATAAATAAAATTAAAAAAAATTTCTTCAAATGTTACATATTTACAGAATTAAAAATAAAATTAATAATATTTCAGTTTCTAGTTTAAATAATAATTCTAACTATTTAATGCATAATAATCAATTAATTAAAAAAAAAAAAAACAAAAATTAATTTCTCAATCGAATCAAAAACATATGTTTATCTCTGATGGTGTTTCGTCATTTGTATAATAAAGTGTGTAAACAATCTGGCATGGAATATCCGACAAATAAACTTGTGAAGGTTAATTGTGATATATCTATAATAATAATTAGGAATATAAAATTTACAAGAGTCAAATACATTCACAGACTTCTAAAGTTTTTTCTAACTAAAATAACAAGCTCTCAAAATTGAAGTTTAATAATAATTTGACGAAAAAAAATCAAAATTTTTTTTTACAAAAGAACTTGTGACTTTTAAAGAATAATTGTGATATTTACATACATATGTAATCATAATGATGAATAGAAAAACATAATTTACAGAAGCCAAATACTTTTAAAGTTACTTCTGTCTAAAATAAAAACTTTTAAAATTTAAACTTAATAATAATTTGACAAAAGGGACAAATTACCCTGAATTTAAAAAATTTGTGACAATCGAGAGAAAATGGACTTTGTAATTGAGGACAATTTTGTAAGTTATTTATTTTAATTGCTTTTTTAAAATTAATTTTTCAATTTTTCTTTCAAAAATAAATGTAAAGGAAAGAGAAATTTAATAGAAATGACATTTATTTATTTCTTTTTTCAATTTCTAGAGTAAATCGCGAAATTGTGATGCATCGGATTTGCCCCCAACACCGCCGACGTCCGTCTCGGGACCACCAACTCCACCGGCAACAACATCCGGAATATCCGAGATGATGGTTCCAAATTCAGTGGAATTATTAAATCAATTACCACCATCAACACCAGCGGACACGAGCGGCGATGAGACAAGTTCCCGTGGCACTCTTGACTCATTCATTCCACCACCAAAAGATTTTGAAGGTAAAAATAATCCATTTCGAAATCTCAGCGAATTACTTGGAACACCGTGCACCATTAATCAAGGTAATTCAAATATTTCCCTTACATTCAATCAATGTCCCATTACATTGCCCCTACCCCTAACACCAGTGATATCGCAACCGCCATTAATGCGACCAGCAAAACGACAATTGTCCGAAAAAGATATTATTATCGATCGTAATGGTCAAGTGAAACGTAGACGACAACATCGACGTGGTCGACCGCCACAACAACAACAAACAGCAAGTAAAACAGCGGCAATTATTCCAGCACGTAACAGTGATGTGAAAAATGAATTTGTCCGAAATTTACGAAGTTCATTTAATGGCTCATCAAGTAGTCATCAAATTGGAAATTGTGTTGACTATGCACTTAATGGACGAAGACTGAGACAACGGCAAAATATTGATAAACTTCCACCACCATCATCTGATCCTCAGATACAAAAGAATAAAGGAAATAATTTAGTTGTCAGTGGTGGTGGTGGCGTGAGTAGTGTACCAACGTCACCAAAATATTCACCAGTGAAACAAAATGCACCCGATATATCGATTGACGATCTAAAATCATCAGTTAATATTTATTTTGGTGCTGCTAATCGAATAGCCGCTGGTGAGAAATTTTTCATTAAAGCAAAACGTATTGGGCCAAATGGCCAATCACAATTTCTTATCGAATGGGAAGGACCCAATACTTAACGTTAAATGTTGGGAATATTGTCTTTTAAAATTTATAACAAAAAAACGATAATTTCAAAAAAAAAAAAAAAATGTGGGAGCTTTTTATATCTCGGCATCGAACTCAAAAGCCGATCGACTGATCCTCCTCTCTGCAGATTCGATAGTACATCGTGGATCAAAGGATTTCTGTTGTTTTTTTTAATCTTTTTTTTCTTGTTATCTAGTTGTTTTTATTATTCTCTATTTTTTCCACCTAATTTTTATTTTCTTTATTTTTTCATCTGTACTATTTTTGTTTTCTCTTTTTTCTTGTCTATTTTACGATTTTTTTTTCTCCACACTGAATGAAAAAAATTATTTTTGATTCAATAACAGCGATGCTAAAAAATCAACTAAATACTTATATTATTAAATAAATAAAATTTCTTTTCACGTATTTGAATACGTATGTAATGAATTCTAAAATACTTTTTTTTACTTCAGTGTATTTCTAAAGTTCTGTGCGGTCATGTAAATATAAAACGTTTCGTAAAAATAAATAAACTAAAGAGAAAAATAAATTAATTACACTAAAAAAATTTTTTGTAATAAATTTATAAAAAGTAGATCTGTTTCTATTTATATATTCTTTTAAATTGTAAAAAATATTGAAAATAATTATAGAAGGATTAAGTTGAATAAAAATATTAATATTAATTAATGAATCAATATTTTCTGAATTTTTCAACTTGATTATATTAAAACTAGAAGTAATAATTACTAAAGCTAAATTTAAATTGTTATTTTTACTAATATAGTATAAATAAGTGATAAACAAATGAAATTAAGTAGAAATTCTGTTAAATAAAATATTTTACTTAAATAAAAATTCTACATTATTAAAAATGTATTTTATTACATTACAAAATAAAATTCGATCCACTGAAAATTCCAATTAATTATTCATGTATGATAATTAAGTATTTATGTTTAACAGTATTAAATTAACTACTTAATTCATTTAAAATCAGAAATTGTAAAAAATAAATATATTTTTTGTTAAAAATATTATTTAGAACATTTTTTACTAAAAAGAAAATCGTTTTTATTTACAATCAGAACTTTAGGAACACTTATCTCTTTTTTTTTTACTTTTTAACATATCTGTTATTCATGTCCGATAATTGAAAACAATTTTTTTTTTATGAACTGTTAATAAAAAAAAATTATTTCGAAAAAAATCACGACATTTGCTGTCGTTAATTTCGTTGCTGGCCAACGGATTTTGATTTCAGACTTCTTAACAATTTTCGTCATTTTATTTTATATATATTATTTTTTTGCGTATATGATAAATTATTTTTAAATGAATAAAAATTGTCATGGATTATAAATCGGTTGTTAAATTAAAATGGAGCGCCGTCCACGTTTTATAGTTCGAGTCCAGTATTAAAAAAAAAAAAATGAAAAAAATATTCGAATTGAGAAAAGCAACGAATTGTACAATTGAAGATTTATTCTTACAGAAAATTTTATCAAATCTGTAAAGAACAAAAATTGAAAATGAAAAGAAAGATAAAGAATTTGATTGTGAAAGTAGTCAGGAATTGTCGGCGAAACAAATTTTCGATTGTATTTGATATTAAGAGTTTACTACAAAAAAAAAAAAAAGAATATATATCGCTAAATATTAGACTGCAATTCCAAATAGAAAAAAAAATTTTCAAGGTGGCTGCTGATGAAACAATAAAGTTTCTATAGATTATTTTCTGTAGGAAAAAAAAATGTTATAATAAAATATAATTTTATAAATGACAATTTTTTTTTGTCTGTAAATTAGAATAAGTTACAAAATTTAATTAAAAAATAAGCAAATAAAAATTTGCTTAAAAAATTAAAAAAGAAAATAATCTTTTAATGAAATAGAAATAATAGACTTGAATTTTGCGGCCACCCTGGAATTGAAATTTAACTATTTCTCGGTTTTTTTTTTGTAATTTATTAATATTCAATAACTAGCATATCGTAGAAGCTAGTTTTCATAACAAAGCAAAATGTTATTTTTCAATACTATAGAGTTTAATAGCTCTGATATTTCAATCTTCTCAAAATTAAATTCGTTTAATATTTTAAATATTTTAACGTTAAATTGAAATATTTTATATTTAAAAAAATTTAATTTTTTTTAATTATATATAGAAATATAACGATTTCGGTAAAATTTTGAAAAATTAAATGAATTATCAATGAGATATTTATTAATAAATTTAATTGAAAATCTAGTTGGTGGTTGTTTTCTAATTGAAAGAAAATATTTAATTAGAGAAGATGAAATATTGCAAACCACATTGCTCACAATACAAGACTAAAAGTTATCTATTACAATTACTACCTATAAAAACTTGATGACAATTTTAATCAGAGGCATAATATAAATAGTGGAATTGATATAATATTTCATTCAATCAAATGCAAATTTGTCAATTAAATTATTACTTTTTATTAAACTCAAGTTTGCAACGTTTCTAAAACAATTAAAACAACAAAGATTTTACATTTGTTTTTAAAAAAGCAAAATTATTTCAATTAGAAAATTAATTTTTTATAAATTGAAATATTAAATTAGCAAACTATATATTTTCTTATAGAAAATATTTTTAGAGTTTAAAACTTTTTATTTTCGTTTTTTTTTATTAAATATTAACTAGGTTTAATTTAATTTTTATTATTTATTCATAGTTCATAACTTTCGATTTTGGACGAATATTTTTATTTTATTTTTATATTTATTATTATGATTAATAGTCATAATTATCATGAAATAAAAATTTCATATTATGTTATGAAATTTTTATTTCATTATTTGTTTTATTTCTATTGAAATTTATTTAAACTTTGGAAGGAATTTTTAAATGCGATTCAAAAAAATATTTTTATTAAAAAACAAAAAAAAAAAGAAATCATTGTGGCATCAATTTGAAAAGTTTTCGAATTGTAAAAATTTAAATTATTGAATTCATTATTAAAAAAAATTGTTTTGTTTTATCAAAACGTTGCAAACTTTTGTTTAAAATATAAAAAATTTCTCTCCTTAATTTTTTTTCTACACAATATAATTGCCATAAAAAGCCGTACAAAACTCGACCACAATTGCATTTAACGTACAAATAAATACTTTTAATAACAATCCTTAATTCCTTCCGTGAAAAAAAACCACTGCCAGCACGTATTTCTTTTAAAAAAAAATTTAATAAAATAAGTAAACAATCAATTAGTTGAATCGAATCTTTGATTTTTGTCTTTTTTTTTAGAAAATATATAGTTTTAAAGTATAATAATAATAATTAATAAAAATCCTGGGGAAATAAGTCTGCATTGTACAATATTTAAAAAGAAGTCTATATGTATTAGAAAGGATTTTATACGTGACACGATGGTCAAAGGAGCTTATTAGAAAAAATTGTCGAATAAATGTCGGTTTTATCCTTTGATATACGTGAATTTTTACTCTATGTACACTCTGAATTGAATCGATTCACGCAATTTTAGAAAGAGAGCCTAAAAGCGGAAATTTTTAAATGACAAAGAGAGTTGAAAATCATTAACTCGATAATAAATAATTTACCAATAAATAAATAATTGGTATCTTTAAAAAAATATATTTAGTTTAAAATACAAAAAAAGCTAATTGTGTTCTGAATTTAAATAATGTGATACGGGAAGTTCAGCATTAATCTAGACAAATTAAATTTGTAGTGTTTAAAACAAAAAAAAAAAAAAAAAAAAGGATAAAATAACAATTGTGATACAAATTTTCTTTGCTTATATTTTAGTAAAAAAAAAATTTAATTTTCTCAACTGAGATTACTTTTAACATTTTTCGATAATTAAAAAAGTTCTGAAGACTTTTTTTTCATCTTCTATTTTTAATTGAAATTTAATTATAAAATTAAGCAATTAATTTTAATTATGTTTATTAAAATTAATTAATTAATTAATTATTAAACTATTTTTAGATTAGAAATAGTATTTAGCAAAACAAAAAATGTGTTTAATTCGAATTATATGAAAATTCGAAACATTTTTTTTTTTAGAGAAATGTCGCAGCGAAACCAAAATTAAAAAAAAATAGACGTTTTTAAAACGTCTACGTTCTCTTTTTATCGCTTATGAGGTGATAAAATGCTGTTCTCTTAGGACCCGTATCACAAAAAATATTTAGGTGGTATCGTCTTTCCTTGTGAAAAAAAGGGAAATTCAGGTTAATTTATTTTGACGAAAACAAGAACTATATAAAACACTGCCAAGTTAAAACGATTTATTTGTTAGAATTATGTGTTTTATTTCTAACAAATAAGTGGAATTAAACGATCGTAAGTGAAATTAGGAGGAAAAGAACTACTGCCAGTATCGTATGTAAATATTCCTTTTTTTGTAAGCTATAAATAGTTATGTTTATTAAAAGAAGAAAAAAAAAGAAAAAAAAAACAGTTATGTTCTGTATGAATGTTATATGGGATTCTGTAATTTGTGGTTGTGTAATTTTGTGAATGCGAGATAAATGCAAGAAAGAAAATATTGAATGGGGCTTTAATCAAATCTCAAAAAGCAAAAAGACTTTATAATCCATCGTTTACTGAATATTATAAATAAATAAATATATATATAAACAATTATATATATATATAATTATATTTGCGCTATTTGTTTGTTTATTGTGAAAAAATTTCATTATAATTGACCGTAAAAAAGTAGGACACAAGTTATTGTTATCAGTCTATAATTCACTATATTGGTTTTTGTTTTCTTGATCAGAAAATAAAATCAACTTATTTGCATATTTATTATCGTATAGCACAGTGTTTTTATTTTAAATATTGTCGAATCTTTTTTTTCTTCATTTAAAAGTAAAACATTCCAAAATTGAATGAAAGAATTCAAAAATGTTGGTTGAAATTTTAATTAAATTTTGATTCTTGTTAAAAAGAAATAAATTGTCGACCAAAAAAAAAGAAAATTAAGAAAAAATATTTAAGCGAATGTTTTGAAAATTTCTAGAGAACTTTTTAATAAAAACATTGTGAATGTTGATCAACAGAATAGATTAAAAAAATCTTGTATATAAATTAAGTAGAATTAAAAAAAAAAAAATTATTTAAGTAGCACCTTTGAAATCTTGTAGTTTTTGTTTTCTAATTCTTCAAGTAATATTATAACTACATATGAGTTAAAAAAAAAATTAATACGAAGCTTCAAGAATTAACGGATTGCTTTCTTAGATGGATTTCTGTGCGTGAAAAATCTTTGCCAAACTATCTGTGTGATAAATCTTTAAGCAGCTTCACGAAATTTTTAGCTGCTTTTCTTTTTTTTCTTTCTTTCGTTAAAATTGGTAGAATATTTGTAAACTCATTATGATCTCTGTATAGAAAATTAAAAGAACTTCTCTCGAAAAAATCCAAGAAGTGCAAAGCTATGGGATCTTTTACTTTTTAACTACTATATAAATATATATATACTATAACGATTAATTTTTTTCTTTCAACTTCATAATACATAAATAGTTTTATTTTCTTTTTCTCGTCGAATTGTACTAAGAATGTATGTGCAAAATAGTATCGAGCACTTTTAGAAATAAGACTTATTTTGCTGCCTGTATAAAAAATAAACAAGGATCGAAGCAAAAGATCCCTATATAAAAAAAACTACAGTCGATTTGTGAAAGCAAAATAGAAAAAAAGACAAGAAAAAAAAACAAAACAGTGAAAGCCTTTGATATTTTTCTATTTTTCAAACTTATTGAATAGAAACAGCGAGATCAATGGGAAAAATTTTTCTATCTTCGTTTTTAGATTTTGCATTTTTATTGACTCTTCACACAAAAAAAAAATCAGCTTCGCGAATAAAATGATCAAGAAATGTATGTATGAATGTAACGAACAGATTGTTTTGCATAAGATTGAAAGAATAAAATCTAGAAAATAAATAATCTATACAGAATTTGATTGTTTTTCTCTTAAACCTCCTCGACTTTGAATGCATTTTTTTAAAAAAATTCTATTCGATAAAAAACAAAACATAATCGTGGAACTTCATTTGATAAATGTAAAAACAAATTATTTTTTTTCCCTCAAGTATGTAGTCAATTACGAAAGAAAAAAAAAACATAAATTTGTCGGAAGGGCAAATTATTCACATGGAACTTTTCAAAAAGATATAAAAAAATTGAAGAATTTCGAAAAAATATAAAAAAAATGGCCATCGTATGCGTAAGAACTTTTACAACCTTTATATATTTTTTTGACAAGTTAATTTGGTTAGCAAGTTTTTTTTATGCATTCTAAAAAATATTTCTAAAAATGTTCAATTCAAAAAAAAAACTTAACAATTTTTAATACAATATTTATAATTAATTTAGATTTTAAATAAATTTTTTGCTGTTTAATAAAATATTTTAGATTTTAACAGGGGTAATTGAATTATTCACATTAGTGACAATAACCGGAGTTTTAATTACACTATTGGCACTTTTTAATCTATTAGAATTACTCCTTAAGGCAGTAAATCCAGTTTGCATTTATTTACTCCGACAAACCGGCAATTTATTCTCAGTGAGTAAATTAAGTAAGAATTTAATTATTAAAACGAAAAAGAATTTAATAATTTTAAAAATTGTTTTCATTTGATAAATATTGAAATTTGATTATTTTTATTGTAAATAATTAAAAATCAAAAAGGCAGGGCGAAAGAGTCCGTGCCCAGTTAATTTTCGACTCCATTTTAATTATAGTGTTCAATCCAATTGTCGATACGGAAAATGCATCAAGTTTATCAAAAAATGTATCCTGAATTAAATGACGAATTAATTGAAAATTCACTTATTGGTACAATTGAACCACTTTCTTCAGATACAGAATTTACTTTAGCGACGTCATTAAATTTAAATGACAACAATAATAATGACGAAAATTTAAACAATACTTCAGAAATTTCTAATGAACATTCTCCTATTTCAAATGAAGAAAATACAAATGCACAAGAAATTCAAAATAACTAATGCGCCTTAAACAATATTTAAATTTGTTTTCGACGATTTCAAAAAACAAAAAAAAAATTGATGAAAACTAATTTCTAAACTTGTATTTTCCATCAAAAATTAAAAGCAATAATTGATGAACAAGAACTAAAAATCTATTATTTTGTTATTTTATTAAAAATTTAATTGTAACATAACTTAGAAATAAAAGAACCTGTCAAAGATCGACAAATTCTCAATGTTGTTTTGTTCCATTGATGTCACGGAATCCATTCCTCATTTGGAGTAATTAGCATTTATATAGTGGAAGATAAACACTAAGAAAAAGAGTGTAACTCCAAGAATGTTGGAGAAAATTGCCAGCTGAACGTCCGTGATCATTTCTGAATAAACAGATCGAAACCTTTTTAATTCTCGACCAAAAGCTCCAAGAATATTTTAGAAATTAGTTTAACTAATATTACTTTATAGTACTTATATTTAATAATATATTAATTAATATTTTAATTAATTTGAGAATGAAAAATAGAAAAAATAATCTAAATGTAGAGGTTTTATATACCCCATTTATAAATATACAAAATTACAACAGAAATTATAGGTTAGAATCCAACTTAACCTTTAGTTTAACGAATAATAATGTAAATAATTTATAAAACATTTTCAAGAAAAGCGTAAAAGAGAATGTAAATACCTGAAGATTTTTTGAAGAAGAAGTTGCGAATGAAAATTAAATTTTTTCTTAAAAACAAATTAAGATGACGTGAACAAGTTCTGAATTATTTACGTTTTTACGTGGCTGTCACGCATACAATGTGAAATTATCAATTAAAATCATTGCTACCAACCATTATCGAACATAAAAATAAACGTTTTATACACAAACCAATCAAAATGGAGTATTTGGACAAAAAACTCCTGACGGTGGTTGTTTTTTAATTTTTTCGAGTAATTTAATTATTTTTTATATTTTTTGTAAAATAATTTACGTTTAACATTTTTCCAACTTAAAAATTATTTAGAAACAAAAGTCAGACAAATACAATAATTAATTAAAATAATTTGAAAAGTACTTACATCTTGCTGATTCACCACATCCGGTTCCCAACAAACTTCCGGAAAATTTTCAGTCGTCGTCATCCGTTGTCATTTTGACTTCGTTAGTAAACGATGCCATCGAAAAATGATTGTTCATGACAGCGTCGCTTGAATTAAATGTAAAACTGTTTTTTCCAGTGTTTCTTCATCATTAATTGAATTCTTCTATTAATTGAGAACCGGGTTATTTGTCGTGTTTCGTATCGGAAATCCAGTGAAAAAGAAGTGTGAAGTGACAGAGAGTTCATTGATCGTTGTTGGCTTCTCGACTCGACGCCATTTTGCCATGGCCTTTATAATGACGCAAGTGCGCATTTGTAAATAATATCAACAGTTTGTGAAGAAAACAAAAAAGTACTTTTTAATTAATATTCCTGTGCATTTTTGTGTTTCAAGCGTGACGTTTGTTACATAAAATTTACTGGCTGTTATTTTTGATTTGACAATTTGTTGATTTGACTCGCGTAGTCGAGTTTCATGGATGGCAATATGGCTGTCAGTTTCACGCGATCAGTGAATCTTGCATCACGCTGACAGAAGCATCGCATTCTTTTCGCACATGGTTTCAAGTTTCGAGAAGAGATCTATCCCCCGCGGAGAGTCTGTTTCTGCAAAGTAAGTCGTTGCTGTATCGTGTGAGATTATTTACAAACAAAAAAAAAAAAAAACCCAGGCACGACAATCGCCATTTTTTCTCATTTTTAATGGATTATGATGATACAAAACACGTCATGAAAAAAAAAATAATGTCAGCTGCAGCCACGCGTAATTTTCACCACGTGTAACATCATGTAATATTATTTATTTTCAATTAAATTTGTTTACGAATGCATATAGAAATGTTGAAATATTTTGGAGCGTCATTATAGATTTTGCGCTTGGCTCAAAAAAATGCATTATGGGTGAATTTGAAACTGTGGAAATGGACCTCCGTTCGCGCTTCTACGTTTGTTTTTTATATAAATTCTCCATTTGAATTTGTTAAATCATCACTTGGGTTTTTGATTAAAAAATCAAATCTCTTTATTCCGGATAGAAAATCTCATAGAATATGTAAGTGAAAGTTACACGTGTATATACCCCTGAAGGGGGGAAAAAATGCATTGTGGGTGAAATTGAAACGATGGAATTAAACCGTTAATTTTTGGATTGGATAATATAGCGTGATCTTGTTCTGTAAATAAAGGTGTACCGTTACTTTGCCGCGTGTCGTGCGTTTCGAAAGTGACACGATTTCCCTTGAAAGCCCTGTTTTTTTTTGATTTGTCAGACCTATTTAAAGAATTCGAAAGACGTTTCTTATTTTTGTATTGTTAAATAAAACGGAACATTAAGCAGTTGATGAATCATGTAGGTACCTTAATTTTTCCCTTGGGTAAGTCGATAGAAATTGAATATTGATTTGTGATAGATTCATGGCAGTTGATTAAAAGAATAAGTTGTAGAGAAAGAAGGTAGTAATTTTTGTTTAGAAATACTTGTACACGTGCTTATTTGAAGGTTAGAAACGCGATTACAGGTAGTAGCCGGTGCGTTATTGATAATGACCTCTTTTTTTACATCGTGTCCTCGACGAAACGAAACACGTCAAATTACCTCAATATGCGACGAAAAATAATCTTTGAGTTCTCAACAATTTTTTTTTTCATTTTTAACACAGCTATGAAGAATTTCACGAAATAAAATTCTTAATATTATTTTATGCTAAATTATGTTTTTCAGCTACTAAAAAAAAGAAACAATTTTTTTCTACCGTAATTGTTTTTCTGTCAAAAAACTTGATAAATTAAAAATGTCTTTGACATAACCTCAAATTATAAAGAATTAAAATCTTTTTCCAAATGCATTTTTGAGGTTAAGGTTTAAAATTGTTTTTAGAGATTTAAATTTGCAAATAAAGATAAAGATAAAATGAACTTTTTTTTCCTTTATTATTCCTATTCTCGTATCATTTAAAATTCCTTTTTTGAAACTTTACTTTTTCTCTTGAATGGAGGCTATTTAAAAATGTACTTACTTTCGCGGTTTTAGTTTAAATGGTCTTCGTGCTCTTCCGCTAATTTTCGACTCGTCATTGGATAGAGTGGTGGGGTTTTCCGGAAGAGTGTAATGTCAAGGGGAAAGGGGTAGGGTGGCGGTAGTCTGGGCAGGTCGTCAGACGGAAACATCGGAACAGGACTATTCTGGACGTCGCGTGGGGAATGCGTAGCCATTGTTGCTGCTGCTATCCGTCTAGTATTTTAGATTAAAATTTGTCAATGCTCCGCTGAATTTGTTTATACAACGTAAGGCTTTGGAAAAATGTAATTTTCGTGTGTTCATTATTGTTGAGTACGTATTGTATTTGGAATTAGTGATAGTGTTTTTTTGTTGATCGTCAGGGACGTTGAGTGTCGAGTCCGCGTCTGTGGCGTTGGTTGTTGGATCGCGTGTGCTAGAAGTTGAGACAAGCAGCGCTCGCGCTCACGCGCGAGGGAGTGAGAGTGAGTGAAGTGAGCGACACGGTGGGGCACTTTCAGTGGCGGCCATAACACCAAGTCGACCAACTAAACTAGCGAGCCAGGGAGAAAGCGTAGCGCGAGTGTTTCGAGGCGTAGTGGTAGTGTTTTCCAACTGAATTTCCCTGAAAAAAGGACTCCGAGAGATCAGGTAGGTCCTCGTGGATGTTGTAGGGCAAAACGACCTTGAGTTGTGTCAAGAATCATGTGTGATACATGCGAAAGCGACGTATAAGTCACCGATATCGGAGCGGGGCCCTTGGGAGCTTTCTTTCTTGAGCGGTCGAACCGCCATGTTGAATGAAACCTACGCCAAATCGAGCGGCCGTGGTGGTGTACCCGATTTCCTTGACTACATCCTGTATCTAATGTGAAAAAATTGATCTCGAAATCATCTTCGGGATGAATGTTGCTCACAACACGCCGTCCACGGCGTTTGTTGTGCGTTGAAAGCATCGGTTGGGCGCGGGTCTACTAACACGTATCTTTTCCCCCTCACCCATCCTCCTACTGTTCCGCCACTTCTGTCGTCTTTTGCCTCCTCCACTGATACACTTTTCATTCTCTTATTATACCAGTTTACTTTCTTTCTCTACTTTTCCAAACATCCTTCACAAAAACATTTTTGCTCCAATTTACGCACAAAATGCTTGACAATTATGCTCTCAAGTGTCCTCTCTGATCTCTAGCTCCGATACCTGTCGCTGGCACGCATGCATTCATCCTCTACGTTTCACGTATATAGCGTTTCTCCTAATTTCGAGCTTTTTTTTCGCCTGACAAGTTTCATTTGAATCTTTTATTGACAAATTTTATTCTCTTTTTCTCGGTTCGGAATTTCGTTTTTAGATTTATCTTTGTTATCGGTGAGGGTTTTTTTTGGAGGGGAAATTTCTCGCGTTTATATCTAAAAAGAAGAGGTAGAAGGTTGCTTTTGAAGTAGAACGACAAAACGTTCAGAGATAATTTTGCGTTTACTCATAAATTGTTCTTTTTTTTTTGTGAAACTCATACTTTTTTATTTGTTTTTAGGTGTAAATCATGATTTTCATTCATAAATTTTTATGCATGACGAAAATTCAGCTTTAAATTCAATTGGATTTCATTAATTATATAAAACATTTTTTTGATATTTTGGAGAAAATTTGATTTCCATGAAATGTGTTGAAGAAAAAGATATACTTAGCAAGAAAATATCCTGTCTATGTTGGAATATTAAACATAAATTCATCTTTTCACTGGTGGAAAAAAATCATTAAAAACATAATAGAAAACGATTTAAATTTAGGAAATTCAATTTTAATTACATTGCATTTCAATGAGAATAATTTGCCAATTCTTAATTGCTTTCTAATTCATTTTCTTTATAAACAGTTTTTAATTACTTTATAATGACTAATTTACCAAAAAATGTTTTTATTGTATTTGTCAAATTCTTCACTTTGTACAAACAATATTAATACACCCAGGTTATAATAAATTCCCATAAATCTTAAAAAAAATTTTTGATTAGTGTAGATATGGTTGAAAGATCACATCATCATTAATCATTTTTCTACATTTCTTTTAACATTTGATAGAATTAAAAGAAAATTTTTGCTTAAAAAAATATTCTCCTGAAATGTTTTGTATATTTAAAATTGTAATATTTGTGATAATCAATGGGAATTTCAATTATTATCATTTTGTGAAAATATGAATTTCTGATTCTCATGGGGAATTAAAGGTACCCTTGAAATCCACTTGGAGCGCTGCCTCTGCCCAACGAATTTGGCGGGTCATTTAAATATCTATTTGAAAATTAATTAATAGTATTTTTTTACTATATGTTTGTGATTATGTTATGATTATTTGAAAAATGATTATATATGTAATTTATTAAGATTTTTTAAAAATATTTTGTTAAAATTACTCCAATTATTTCAAAAATTGATTTTCACATACGAATTTTAAGTTAATGAAAAAAAAAAAAACATTTCTATAAAGAAGATATATAATTATTTCAAAAGGTTTTGAAACTGGAATATTTTTCATAAAAGTAAAATCACATTGATTATTTATGTGTATTGTAAAATCAGTCCTTTTCAAAAAGATTTTTCTTTCATAATAATCCTTGAATTTAAATATAGAGGAGTGCCCTTCAAATATTTTTCAATAATTTATAAATCTGACAAAGATAAAATTTTATTTAAAGAATCTAAATTAATTACGATTATTTTTTTAGCTTAATTTGTATTTTTATACCATTATGGGTGTAATTAAATATTTGGAGTGATAAAAAAATTCATTTTTTTAAAAATGAAGATAGATAATTTTAAAAAAGAATCTATATTTTCGTATCTTTAAATATATTAAAAAATAAAGGAAGAAAGAAAAATTAAATTTTGTTTGATTAAAAATGCTGAATGATTTTTAATTTTTGAAGAAAATCAGATTTAGTGCCTTGTTTTTTTTTTTTTTTTTGGTTAATATGTAGATAATTAATGCTTGTCGCTCCAAAAAAATGAGATCCTCTTCTGTTTTATTCAGATGTTGCTAGTATCGCGAGACTTGGTTGGCGGCACGGCGAATTACCAGAGAACGCAGGGCTGACATTCGAGCAACTACCATTTGGTAGGCTTGAGTAGTGTTATGTCTCCTCAGCATCGATCTCCCTGGTCACAGCCCAATCGTCTTGGCAAGCAATTAGAGAGCTGCAATGCTCAATTCAAAGTATACCCTTGCCAACTCAATTGTTGATGAAGCCTCGTAGCATCAATCATCGAAGTAAAGCAGTTACCTGCTACAAAGCATTTATGTACCATACATGTCGGAAAGGTAGGTGGAAGTTCGCGGATTAGGTCATATACACTCTTTCTCTCTCTCTCTCCAAATTCTCTCAATCACTCCATTATGAATATTATCCAATTCACTCATATTAAATATAAACAGAACCCACAATTATTGCAAAAACAAATAGTATACAAAAAAATAATTCCCAACCCGCACGACTTGCCACATGATTTTATAATATAATGCAAAAAAAGAAAATTTTATTCCTCTTGAATATGTTTTCACTTATTTTTATTTATGTTTCAGAAAAGAAACCAAGATGCAGCAGGTGGACACGATCTCGCAAAATAACTCTGTGAGTATCGTTTTTATTTGATCGATGGTGATTTTTTTTTTTTTGTTTTGTTTTGTCATCGAATGCAGCTTTACTAATTATTCACTAATTTTACTAACTATTATATTAAAGTAATTGTTTTTATTTTTAATTCGAAACTTTTGAAAGTGTATTGTATTTTAAAATACATTTGAAAATGATCTTTTCGCAGCCGATTTTTATAAAAAAAAAACAAGAATAGTTTTTCATGTAAATATTATTATTTATTTGAGGCATAAAAATATTATTGAATTTTTGACTGAAGGAGTATGTATGAATTACAGTTAGATGTGGAGGAGCGAGAAAGGCTGTGTAATATACCGAAGGTGAGATTTCATGAAAAGTGATTTAACTGTGAGATAATTTTATTTGCTTTTTTAACGAGAGAGTACTTTTGTAATGGTTAGCTTTTAGTTTTTTTTATTAGCAAATTTAAATCTGGGTTGTAATATTTAGGCGAAAAATTAATTTGGAGAAAAAAACTAGTTCAAAATATTTTTGATTAATTTTAAAGTACAGATAAAATAATTAAAAACAAAATTGTGATAAAATCGAGAAAAAAAAAATCCACTAAATTAGTCGTAATTATAAATTTTTGTATCCTGCATGTTATTTTGAACTGTCTTTTTTTATCCCCTACTATATGTGTTTATCATAAAAAAATCTAATTTTCATTTGAAAATGGTTATCTCTAACATTCTATAATTCAACATATTAGCAGCCTGATTCGCTCATTGCATGAATTCAAGGGAAAAATTTCTTTACTCGCATGATAAAAAAAAATTAACCATAAAATCCTAGATAACATCTATCTGTTCTATTAATTTATAAATTTTCAGTAAATTTTTCATTTCAATATCTACTTTTATATTTTAGTTTTAGAAATTCATAAATTCGAAGCATGTTAAAAAAAGTAAATACAGTATTAATGCTATAGTATTCTGAAAACAGCAAATGTACTTTTCTAAGAAAATTTGGACCTATTTTTCTTTTTGCAATACAAAAAAAAGTAGATTTTGACTTGTGGAAAAAGTAAAAATAAATTTGCAATTTTAATAATAAAAAAAAAAAATAAAATCGTACAGACGAGTGCACCTGGTAAAACGTCGGCAACACCGTCTGCTCCACCTCGGGAACCACCTCCACGAGAAGAGCCGCCTGTGGAGCCAGTGAACGGAATTGTTCAACCGCCCGTTGTAGCGCCTCCAAATCGACCGGGTCGCAATACCAATCAGATACATTATCTTTCGAAAGGTGTTTTCAAAGCAGTATGGAAGCATCAATTTGCTTGGCCGTTTCAGCAGCCAGTCGATGCGAAAAAGCTCAATTTACCAGTACGTTTATTATTATTGTATACATTTAGTATCAATTAACTTTTATGTTAATTTGCCAAATTTTTCTATAAGGACTATCACAAAATTATCAAACAACCGATGGATTTGGGTACAATCAAAAAACGTTTAGAGAATTTCTATTATTGGAGCGCCAAAGAATGCATTCAAGATTTCAATACAATGTTCACCAATTGCTACGTTTACAACAAACCAGGCGAGGATGTTGTTGTTATGGCGCAAGCCCTCGAAAAGTTGTTCCTAACGAAGGTAAATTAGATTTTAATTTAAAATAAAAATTGCAAATAGATTGTAATTGAATTAAGTAAACAAATTTTAATGTATTTCGCAGGTGTCGCATATGCCAAAAGATGAGGTGGAACTTGATCCGCCCGCTCCAAAGGGGCCAAAAGGCAAGAAACCTGGTAGAGTTGGCGCGTCACAGACTGGCGCTGTACCATCAGCAACTGGTGGTCCAGGTCGCGGGCGACCGTCGTCTGGTGCATCAACCGTCACATCCAGTGTTCCAAATAATATGGCACCAACGTCAACAACCGCTGGTACAACAGGTGTTATGCCAATGCCACCACTTGGCACGCAAGCACCAGTTTCCGTACCAGGAAGCACTAATACAACAACAATTGCACCACCATCGAATTTAGGTGTTACATCAATGGCAACACATAATTCATTACCACAACAAGTTATTCCACCAACAAGTGGTTATCATGCACAACCAGCAATAGATACACAAACGGCAACAGCGACGGCGACGGCAACCACAGCATCTGCTGTACCACCATCGACGCAAATACCCACCGCAGCACCACCTGTGATGCCACCATCGCAGCCTGCCAAAGTTAAGAAAGGCGTGAAAAGAAAAGCTGATACCACAACACCCACTGCTAATTCATTTGATCCCATTTATAATCCCCTTGAACCCAAGAATGCCAAAATACCAGCAAGACGAGAATCAGGCAGACAAATCAAGAAGGTATGCATCTATTTTTTCCATTATTTCTAATATAGAACGTTTTTTATAATCTGGTTAGATGAAATTCGAAACATTTTCTTTATTTTTCACAATCGTTGATTTATTCATTTAATAATATTACTAAATTTACCAATAATACGGAAGGTAAAAGAATGAAAACAAAGTCCAAAACCGAAAGGTATGGGCGAAAAGTAAATAATATTCATTGATTCATGTGTTTAGTGCTTCGTCAAAACGTGATTAATGCAATTTTTCAGCGCTCTAAATTGATAATTAACATTCGTTTCTTGTATCAAATAAATCAATAATTGAATAAATGTTTAATGAATTTTTTTTATTTTTCATTGAAGCAGTAATTTAAAAAAAAATTGTTCATGTTCAGAACTTTAGGAACAAAATTTTTATTAAAAATCTGGAATATATAAGATTTTTAAATAATTTAATGGTAAATAAGAAATTAAAAAAAAAAACGGAATATTTTGATAATTAATTAGGAAAATTTTTTTTTCTGTCTACAATTTACTTTTCTTATTGTTGTCTTTAGTTTTTTGAGAGAAGAAAAAAAAATTCAAGTGGATTCGTCTTTGATTTTGTATATGTAAAAAAAATTATATCGCCTAGTCTGATCTTTGTGTTTTTGCATGTGTTAAATCATGTCATTATACATTAACGTACTAACAGAGGGTTATGATGGGGCTGTTTCAGCCAACGAGGCAAGCTGACGATGGTCTGGTGCCGTACCATCAGGCTAGTATGCCAATGATGTCTGCTATGGTACAACAGGTACTTAATTTTTTTTTTTCAATCACTCTTTTTTTTTAGTTCGTTTCATTTGTGACGTCTTCAATCGCATTTTTTTTCAAAGAAAACAGATTTTAATAAAAATTATTATTTAGTAAATTTTATAAAGTAATTTTTAGAACTTTTTTTCCAATTTTAGTATTTTATATTAAAAAAATGACTTTTGCAGCCTCAACATCCTGGCGGTAAGACAAAGGAGAAACTCTCGGAAGCTTTGAAATCTTGTAACGATATTCTCAAGGAACTTTTCTCCAAGAAACATTCGGTAATTATAAATTTTATTAACATTGATTTCAATAGAAGTAAATTTTAATTTAAAAACAAATTTTTTTTTATTTTTAATTAATTAATTAAAAAGACAATTTTTGAAAATTAATTTAAAAACGTAAGATAAATGTTAATTAATTTGTATTTAAATTATTTTCCAGGGTTATGCGTGGCCTTTTTATAAGCCCGTCGACGCTGATCTTTTGGGTCTTCATGATTATCATGAGATCATTAGGAAACCAATGGATCTTGGAACTGTGAAGGTAATATTTAGAAAAAAAAACCTCTTTTGCTATTTCGTGAAATATTACCCTTTTTCTTTCTTTTCTAAATTTTTTTTCTCCACAGACGAAAATGGATAGTCGAGAATATAAAACAGCTCAAGAATTTGCGAGCGATGTACGACTCATATTTACCAATTGCTATAAATATAATCCACCTGATCATGATGTCGTTGCAATGGCAAGAAAATTACAAGACGTTTTTGAAATGAGGTATGCAAAAATACCTGATGAACCATCGGGCGCTGTTGTTGGAATAAAAGGCAGCAGTACAAGCGGCAGTAGTTCGGCGTCGGAAAGTGATAGCGAGAGTGAAGACTCCGAGGAGGAATTCCAACGCTCACAGAAGCTTGTTGCCTTACAGCAGAAGGTACATTTTTTTTTTTTTTTTGAAGCAATCTTTTCTGAAAAAAAAGAAAATTGGTAGAAATTAACAATTGGAAATTTTTTATTACAGTTGAAAGCCGTGCAGGAACAAGTAAGAATGCTAGCTGAGGAATCGACAAAAAAGAAGAAGGGCAAAAAGAAGAAATCTGATAAGCCAAAATCAAAGCCAATGAGTAATAAAACGCCAAATCTCATTGGCAGTCACAGTGGTGCCATGAAAGAATTAATGAAACCAAGCGCTGGACATTCAAATGTTGCTGGTGATAATGTCACAGCTGGTATTGGTAATGCAGCAATGGGTGGCGATATTAAAATGACAGCAAGTGGTGATCTTCATCATCAAACAATGGCTGCCGTTGGTCCTAATAAGGCACATGCACCGTCAAATCTTGGACATCATATGCCACCGGCAAATGCAAAAACGAAAGGCAAAGGACGTGGACCAGGTAAAGCTGCAGCAGCAAATGCAGCAACAAAAAGGCCGAAAGCCAATAGTCGATCGGCTGGTAATAAAAAGAAAAATGTTGGTAATCTTCTGCCACCAATTCCATTTGATTCGGAAGATGAGGATAATGCCAAACCCATGTCATATGATGAGAAACGTCAACTCAGTCTCGATATTAATAAATTGCCTGGTATGTATAAAGGTTTTGTTTTTATTTTACAAATTAGAATTTTGAAATTAATTTTTTTCTTTCTGTTTTTTTTCAGGTGATAAACTGGGACGTGTAGTGCACATAATTCAATCTCGTGAGCCGTCGTTAAGGGATTCGAATCCTGATGAAATTGAAATTGATTTTGAAACCCTGAAACCATCTACATTGCGGGAATTGGAGAATTATGTTGCCTCGTGTCTTAGAAAAAAACCACGTAAGCTCTACTGTAAGTTCCGTTCCAACGTCATGCAAGGACACTTCGACTGTATTTTTTTACTTTTTTTGAATTTCCATCATTGGTGTTTCACTCTTGTGGGTGATCAGTGGAAAAAATTATTTATTGATCCCTGCTAAATTGGAGTGTTTTCGTTTTGAGAAAGTGAGAAAGAACCTTTCTAAATATTTCCAATTGTTTTTTGACTAACGATATTCGAATCCTGTAGAGAAGGTCCTTACTGACGTTCGTGAAAGGAACTACATTTATTGCATCTAATTCACCCCCCTCCCCTTTTTTTTTCTTGTTTTTTTTTAATAATTTGTGCTTTTTGTCTATTTTTAAGTGTGGCTTTTGTTTTTTTAAACTGTTTTAATTTATTAATATTTAATTATTTACGTTGTTTTACAATGTTTAATTTTTTTGTTTTTAATTATTTTATTTACTTTCTGCTATACGTTTTTTTTTCTTTATAATTTTGTTTGTTACGCGTGAATTTGGCGCTTTTTTTGTTCAATCATTCAAACAAATTAGTTCAGTTACTTTTACTTTTAAAAAAGGGGGCTTCATTATTGTTAAATTAAACTTGTGAATTAAACAAAATTTACATTGTCATGTTTATAGATAAGAAACTCAGTGGAAAATCTAAGGAAGACCAAATGGCAGAGAAGAAACAAGAACTCGAAAAAAGATTGCAAGATGTTACGGGCCAACTGGGAAATGTCAAGAAGGCTCCCAAAAAAGGTGAGTTTCTTATTTCATTATTAACTTTTACTTTTAATTAATTCTCCTTTATTATTATTACAATAATATAATAATATAGTTTAATTAATATAATATTTTAATTCACTAAATTATTAAATATTATTAAACAAAATTAGTAACGTATTTTTTGTATTGAAAACTAAAATTTGATTTAAACGATAAAAATTTATTGACTGATTGTCTATAAGTATTTTAAAAATTTGATTACTATGAATACATAAAATAATATAAAAATCAGAGTTAAGGAATAAAATTTCAATGAAGAATTAAATATTTTATTTCTTTTTTGTGTTTTGAAAACAAATATTAAAGTGCAGGATTCTTTTTTTTTTATTGTGCGTTTATTAAAAGTTCATTGAGAGTTATTTTATCTTTATGCTACTGTTATGTAGGGCAGATAAAAAGATAGGAAACGAGCACCGGTATTGATTTTTTGTACACACTTCCTGGTGGGGAAATATTGATTCTATAATATTTCCAACAATGATAAAAGACATTTCTTAAAATATATATTTTATTTTAAAAAGCCTAATATTATTATTTAATAATCCTAATATTCAATCATTTTTAATATTAAAAAAATTTAACAATTTTTTATCTCAATAATTTTTCAAATACTAAAAAACAAATTCTCAGACATTGTATTTTTAAAATTTATTTTGATATTATAGTAAACTAAATATTAACGAATTGAAAATATTATTTAAAAAATTTTTCTTTAAATTAATAAAAAGAAAACAAATTTAATAATAAATATTCATTGATAATTACAGAAGACAGTAGTAAGTCAGTAGACGTAGTGGGAACTGCTGGAACTAGTGGACCTCAGAGATTGTCAGCATCCAGTAGTAGTAGCAGTGACAGTGATTCCAGTAGCAGTTCTTTATCTTCGAGTTCCAGTGATTCTAGCGACAGCGAAGCAGGTTAGATATGAACAAAACCTCATCTAACTGTTGCCACTATTAAAAAAACAAAAAAAAAAACCCCTCACTCGGGAACAAAAACAAAAATAAAACGACCTTCTTTTTTATTATAAATGAAAATGGTCGTTAATATTAAAATTACAAAAAAAAACTTCTTTTATTTCCTACGAATTACAAATTTAAAGGGATTATTTGCGATTGTTGTGAATCAACAGTCAAACCAATATTTGGTATTGTTTTTCTTTTGTTTGTTATTTTTAGTATAAAAATTTTTTTAAACCGATTTTTTCATGTATGAAGTGTGACATAATTAATATTTTTTCTGTTTTTTTCATTCACAAAAGCACATATTTTTACTTCGCGCTTTTATCCGAAGTTATATAAAGACAATACTATTTTGTACACGCTTTGACAAGCACTTTTTTTTTAAATGCAAATATTATTAGAGTAAAATTATAAATAATTATTATGTTTTTGCTTAGATTTAGCGTGGAAAAAATTAAATACACGCGTCTTTTCTTTTGATTGATTACGCGAATTGATAATTCGCGTTTTTTTTTTTTTTTTTTTTTTTTTTCTCGTTCACTATAGAGAAAATAAATTATCTAAGTCTCTAATCTGAATTTTGAAATTCACCATACCAGGATTAATTAAAATTGTTCAATTGAATTGTATATCAAATGATAATGAATCCAATTGATAAATTTAATTATTAAAATTATAAATTAAACGTTAAATTTAATTATTAAAATGATAAATTAAACGCTAAATTTTATGAATTAAAGAAAATTATGTTAAACAAATTTTATTATAAATTAAACGATAACATTAAAGTATAAATTATATTAAAAGATAAATTAATTTTAATTATGAGAGGAATTATAGTTAATTATGAATTATGGAATTAAATTATAAGTAAAGCAATATATTTAATAATAAATAATAAATCAAGTGTTTAGTTAATTTAATTAATCAATTGAATTATTTCATTGATCTTAATTTATAAGTTGAAAAACATGATTCGAGTCTTAGAACTATTGTTTAATTGGCTATTTGTTAAACAAGAGGCCATTACTAAAAAAAAAAAAAAAAAAAAAAAGAAAGAAAGAAAAAAATATATATGTATATAAATAAATATTTCACGACTGATGTTAGATTTTGTACATTTTTCGTAAATTTATTTAGTCTTGGTTTGGTGACTTTTTTTTAATTATAAAAATTAGGAGAGAAAAAAAACGAAAATCATAGCAATAATAATTGAGAGACTCGCGCAATGTCCAATTAAACAAATTAGATTTAGTAATAAAAATTTGGTATCATGGCGGTTTTTTAAAAAAATAAATTTTTAAAGTAGTCCATTGACCAAATAAAATTGACTGCACAAATTCATCGCAAATATCTCCCAATAAAAAGTAAACTGAGAAAAATATTTTTCTTCATTTATATATTTATTAGGACGGCGTTATACTGATGTGGTAAAAAAAACATTACTACGTTACGTTAATGCAAATTGTATAAAGAAAAAGAAAACAAAAAGTATTGAGTCTCGATTGTGCAAATTATTATTAATATTATTATTATTATTATTACTACTTATCGTCGAGACTCAATACAAAGTTACGATATTTTGTTTCTTTAATTTAATAATTAATTGAATAGCAATAATAATATTAATAATGGAAACATGAATCTTAATGGTAAGAAAGAAGGTGAGCTAGTGGAGTGCAGACTGTGTTTTGAGGGATACCATATAATAATAATAATGCCATGTCAGCTTTATTTCAAGAAACGATGATTCGCAAAATTAATGACAATTCAGTTCTTTTCTCTTGCTCTGTTGATGTTGACGGTGTTTAAAGTGTGTCATCATTAAAAAAAAAAAAAAAAAACAAATCTAAAAAAATAACCAATATGCAAAAAAAAAAAAAAAAAAAACTCGAGAGAGAGAGAGAGGAGTACGTCGATCTTTGAGATCGAGGTAATAAATTTCAATAATCAAAATAATAACGGTATCAAAGACCGACGCCTCTGTTTATATATCTAAATTCTAATGCCCTGCCAATTTCATGCTTTTTTTCATTCAATGAGCAGAGCATTAAAAATAATTGTTTCCCCCACATGTTCAGCTTTATTTCATTTGCATCGAATCATTTTTTTTTTCCTTTCAAAAAAGAAAAAAAGATCTCAATTTAGAGATTTTTCTAAAAGCACTAATTTATGTCCTCCTTTTTTTTTTGTTATTAATTTTTTTCGTTTTGTGACAACATGCGTGTACCTTCGACTACATCGTTTACTATAATGGAATGGAAAATTCTGTTCGTCAATTGCAAGTGGACAACAAAACCAAAAAAGAAAAAAAATCACGTTAAGTGAAGTTTTTTCATCTTCACGAAACTTTTAATAACCAGGCAATGACAATATTTAAGGGGACTGATAAAATAATAAATAATAAAATGCAGACAATGTGTATTGGTGGCTGGATCTTTAAATTAGCGCGTTGTAACTTTTCGGACCAGTTTGTCAATTATTTTTTAATAGTCATTCAAAACTGTCACTGCTGATCCAGATATAATGAAAAATAAAAAAAAAACGGTACTCCAAGTGGAGTTTAAAAAAGAATTTAAAAAGAAAGAAATAGTGAAAGAAAGAAAAAACCCTCTTGAGCTACTCCGATAAAAATATTTTTTTTCATATCCTTTCAGGATTGATGATGTACCATTTTTAGTTAAAAAAAAAAGAAGATTAATTATATGCGTTACATCTTTTTAATTTTTATGTAGCATTTTTCAGTTATATATATATATATATATTCCTTTTTTTAATTTATGTAGCATTTTCTCTAGCTACATTATTTTTTTAATCTGCATGTAACAATGAGTTTAACTTTTAATTTTGAAAAAATAAATCAAATTTTTATTTCAATTTTCAATAATCCTGGTGCTTTTCAAACTTGTAGGACCAAAAGAAAGTTTGTTACTTGAATTAATTTTTAGATGGGGATGAGAGTAAAAAAGATGAAGAAAAAGAGAGAGAGAAAAAGAATAAAAACAGAGGAGAAAGAGAGCAATATTTTTTTGATTAACGGAGCAAGAAGGGAAAAGAAAGAAAAAAAATGATAATTAAAAAAAAGGCAAGAAAATATCTTTTTTCCGATTTGTTAACAAAGCGCACTGGCCTCCAAACACATTGTTTGCACTCCGCTAAGCTTTGATCCAAATGATCGGTTAGAAAAAATAAATAAATAAATAATGATCAAGCGAAGCAAAGATTTGTTTTTTCGACTTTGTGTGTGTCTCGATTCGACGATTACTGCGATTTAAAAAAAAAACAAAAAAAAAAATTATGAAAACGTGTGACATTCGCTGAATTAGGTATGTGACGATTTTTTTTTTTTTATTTTTTTTTTATTTTCTTTGAACCCGTCCTATTTAAACATATTAAGAAGCCTTTTATACGTGTTTAAAGAAAGTTTAATTTTAGGGATATTTTGTTTTTATATTTCTATCTGTAAATGTCTGCTCCATGATAGTGGTTTTTGTTGAGATATCATGTAAATTTAGTCCTTTATATATAAATATATATATATAGCAAGAAAAAAGTACATATTAATAATTAAAAAAAAAAGAAAAAAAATAAACAAAAGTTATGGACGTAAAACGATCGGCATTATTCGATTTGTCATAAATGTAGTAAAAAAAGTAATATCACAATTTACTCGAAAATCACAAAAATACAAAGAAACTTTATTTGTAACAATAAAAATTTTTTAATGAAAAATTTTCTTATTCTAACTAAAAAAACATTCATATATTCTAAAATAAAAATTTGTATTCTAAATAGAAATTTAAATTCTAAATAAAAATTTATATTCTAAATAGAAATTTAAATTCTAAATAAAAAATAATTTTTATTTCTGAATAAAAAGAAAAAGAAATTCACATCTTATTTTTTACTGAACAGGAAAAATTAAAACTGTCGATAAAATTGTGATTTTACTTTATGTATTTTAACGAGAAAATGGTGTGTATATCGATGGTAATAGATGATCGTACGATTTTAAACTCAAAAAAAAAACGTACTTAAAGAAGAAAAAAAAAACTGAAAACGTTAGTTGGCGGTCATAATGTAGGAAAAATATAGAAAAAAAAGCCCCCGAGGGAGATTGGAAAGACAAAACAAACAAAAAGAGACTTTTTTCGAAGCATTTCTCGGAGTGTACTTGAAAAAATTCTTTATTGAATTTAGCTAGAACACTAAACAAATGAACAAATTCAATTAGATAGATTATATTATATACATTTTAAGAAAATGCATCCAGTAAGATATACAATCATTGTTATAGTTTGTAAACGCGATGAAATAAGGGCATTTTTTATAATAATTTACAAATTTTTGCCTTCCAAAATTTTTTTCATCTCCTTTTTATATAAAAAAAATAACGCGTAACATTTATACCAAGTTCTTCTAATTCCTCTTCCTCTCTTGCCCTCCCCAATTTTTTTTTTTCTCACTAAATTCTTCCTCCTAAAGATCGTCATCTGCCGATCGATCGCAAAACAGATCTAACGACCTAAATATTTTATTAAATATAAATAATAAAAAAAATATATATATATAAATGAAAAAAATTATAAATATTATATATATTATACATACTTCCTTATTTATACTCACACAATAATATCTTATGTCTACATTTTTCGTACGCGTTCCATCTGTTTTGTGCGAATCTAACGAAAAAAAAAACGTACCCCGAGACAGCATAAGCATTTTTTGTACATAGTGAAGACTAATATATCATAAAAAAAATATTAATTCTAGCGATAAGTTATACTCGTGAGAAAAACAGAAGAGAAAAAAAAGGTGGTAAAACGTTAAACGCAAAACTTTTTTAAATTGCATTATTCGTAATAAAAAAAAAAAAAAAAACAAAAAAAATTTAAAAAAAAATCCTTTCTTACTGACACTTTGTGTGTTTAAAAGGATGTAAACGACGTGTTTATTGTAGATTTAAAAACAAAAAACAGACAAAATAAATAAACATAATTACTCCGAGTAGTCTTTTTCGGAGTCGAGGTTGGCTCACAAAATGGTGGTCCAGCTCGATTATATTATATAAGTTTAAGGATAACGCTGGAACTCCTTCTCGATGTTTAAATAGAGATAAAAAAAGAATATAGTCCGCCGAATTTTTCATACTTCCATTTTTTAAATCTCTCTCTTTGTCTCTCTCTCTCTCTCTCTCTCTCTCTCTCTTACTCTCTCTTTTTGTAAAATTTCCTTTTTTCAAATTAAAAATTTGAAAAATAGGAAATAATTTAAAATAAAACAAAGACACCGAGCAGGAGATTCTTGCCACCGATCTCAATAATGTGCTAACTACGACTCAAATTAAAATTTAGGTTTTTCATGAATTTTTATTGTACACTTGATTTTATTTACCATTTAATAAGACATACAATTAATTTTGATTCTACGAGATAAATTTTGCAAGTTTGATGGTTTTGTTGTCAACGTTTTTTTGTAATCATCATTTATCATCATCAATCATTACACGATTCTCATCGCGTTTTATTCTTCTTCTTCTTATTATTATTATTCATATGATTATTCTTATTATTATTCTTATTATTATTAATTATTATTATTATCATCATCAGCATCAATATTAGAATATTTGTGAAGGGATGAAAAATATAAAATAAATTTTTTTTGGAGACGAACGCTTGTTGATCGTTTTGCACATTATAATAATATAAATGTGCAAACGAATCAACTTCTTCGCAGAAACATTTTTTTTTTTGTCTGTGGGACTTGTCCAAGTGAGAGTGTGTGTGTATATGTTTTATTGGCATATTCGGCATATATATATATATATATATATATAAATATTATTTGAGATTGAATGACTTTTATGTAGAATGGGTGAATTGTTCTGCGCATTAAGATTTTTTAATATAAAAAAGAAGAAAAAAAAACAATGAAACAAAAAGAAAAAAAAGAAAGAAACGTGAAATGAAAGTCCACAAAAAAGGCATACAATTGAGATATTTAAATTAACATTGTTGTACACAGTGATACAATTATAATATAAGTATATGAATAAAAATCTATTAGAAAATAAATTGGCAAATGTTGTTTAATTTTGCGATCATCGAAATTTTATATATATATTTTTTTATAATAATTAAACATAAAACAAAATGTATTTTTCATATGGCTGGTATCCTCTCTTTTTCTCTGTCTCTCTCTCTGCACTGTTGGTTATTTCACTAGCTCCACTTTTTAAAGTGATTTGTGTAAAAAAAACGAAATTATTTTTTTTTTGCTTTGCACTTTCGGTTAGACGCAAAATTACGTTCAATTTCAGGCAATTCATCGAATCGACCGCCACGAAAGAAAACCAAAAAGGCTACAATACCACCTGGACCACCAATGACAGCCGCATCAACTGTGGTACCACCGGTGAGAATGCCATTTTTTTTTAGACTGAAAGAAATTTATTGTCAAATTTTATTCAATTTCAGCCTTTTTTTCATTAAAAATTTATTTATTTTATATTAAACTCCAATTTATTCGAGGTTCTATTTTATTTTAGGATTCAAGGGGAATAAAGACAAATTTTTCATAATAGAACATTTTTAAGAATTTATTTATTAACTAATTAATTTAACTTTTAGGGGGAAATAACATTTTATTTTTAAAAAAGCCTCAAATATTTTTTCTAGAATTGAGTATTTTCTTTATTTTAAAAATTTGATTTTTCTCTAAATCGAAAAATACTGTAAAATTTAATAATCAATTTCTTTCAGTTGTGTCAGATTAGAAAAAATTTGAGAAAAAAAAATCGCACAGAAAAGTTAAATATAATAATGAAAAACAATAGAAACATTATATTTTTAAAAAAGTTTTTTTTTTATTTTTTTTGTTTGTTTTTTTGAAAATGATTTAAAGTTGATTTCATAATTTTTTTTTAAACACCTTTGGTTAGATATAAATTATTTTTTCAATTGAAACAGTGATTATTTAATGATGAAAATTTATAGGCGACTAATTTAAATCATACCGGTGGTCTTCTAATGAATAATCAACCAGCAACTAATTCCACGGGACCAGCGGCAAAATCAACAATCACACAGGCAAATAATATTCCAGCTGAACAAGGTACGAAATAGTTTGTAGACATTCCCAGGGCTCGGAAGAAGAAAATCGATAGGTTGCAGAAAGTGATGTCTAACGAGCAGTGAACTCTTCTTTTTTTTTAAAGATTCTCATTCTCACAAAACTGTGATGATTTTATTCTTTAAAAAAAAAACACGAAATTCTTTGAGTCATATTTTAATATTATTTTTATCGAGAAACAATTGACAATATTTATTTATAAGTCAATTTTTATTTATTAAATTTTAATGAAATGAAAATTCACTAAATCTATTTTAATTAAATTTATTTAAATTAAATTAATTCATATGTAGTAAATTCACTGAAATTTAATTTTGCAATTTTTATTTCGTTAGACATCACAAAATAAAATGATTATTTATCATAATAATATATAATTAATATGGACAAATCAAATTTGTGATTGTAGGATGTTTTAAAATTTCTACTTTTCGAATATTTAGAGTGAGAGAACAATTTTTTTATCATTCTTTAGTCGTTTATAGAATATAAGATAGAAAAAAATCTTTAGATCAAATTATTACTTTAGAAACATTATTAAAAAAATATTTATTCTTAGGTCGCCAGGCGACTTTTTTTTTAAATTAACTTTATTTTTTTCATAATACATATACGAATGTTAAAATGCTTTTCTCCTATAATTATAAAATTGTTAATTCACAATTATTATTTTTCCCCATTTTTTTAAAATTTCTTCTGCCGAGTTCTTTTTTTAATTAAATTAATTTTCCTCATATCAAAATTTCCGAATTGTACAATTAATTCAGGGTTATAAATTGGTCGTAAGTAGTTCAATTAAAATCCAATAAAATAATATTGTATAACAATTTTGCAGGAGAGAAGGGTCTATATATATATATATATATATATATATATATATATATATATATATATACATGGTTTAATATTTAAATAAGATTTACATATTTAAATGTGTTGTAGATGAATTTTTGTATTTTACATTTGAATACTTCAATACTGCTGTATATTGAAATTTGTTAAATACATTTTTTTGGAAACTACTTTTAGAGTAAAATCTTTATTAATACTACCTTTTATTTATTAAGTAAAATTTTGTTTAAAATTTTATTTCTAGAAAACGGCTTCGTTATTTTTTTACAAATTTCTCTTTTTTATTTAATCCCCACATTTTTACAGCCGTCTTTCATTACTTTTTTTTAACTCTCGTTATCTATTTTTTTTTTAATTTCAAATTGTAATTTAAATAAAATAATTTCTTTTTTGTCAAAAATAAATATTACAATTTGTTTAAAAATATTGTTTTGACTTATTTATATTTAAACCTAAATTTCATTTTCGAATAAAAAATTCTCTTTTTTGATAACAATTATTAACTTTTTCATAAATTTTTTTTTTATATTTTTCTCTTTTTAAGTAGAAACGATAAAATAGACCAATCGTAGCCATGAATTTATTGTATAATTAATTAAAAGAGCTTTATTTTTTATTATTTAGATAATCAAAAATAACGAAAACTAAATTTGGTTTTTATTTTATTTACTATTTTATTTTATATTCTATTTTTTTAAAATTATTTTTTATTTGTTTAATGAGTTGAAATTCGATACTGAAAGAAAATTCCTGTAGGTGCAGCTCCTCCTCCGCAACAATCAATTGCAGTTCCACCGGTGACAGTTGGACAGACAATGCCAATAGCGAGTCATAGTTCAATGCCAGCTCAACCTGCCCGTCCAGTTGCTTTGGCCACTGCTGCTCCAATTAAAAAACCAACACCGCCACCACCAGCACCTCCTCCACCACAACCACCACCACCACAACAACAACAACAACAACAACCGGCACCTCCGGCTGTTAATACAAATACAACTTGTTCGTTATCGGTTCCAACACCACCGCCAAGTGTTACATCAACGAATATAAATAATTCAACCACAAGTACAGTGGTGGCACCTTCTTCATTAATCATATCGCCTGTTCTTCAGCCTCAAACAACAGTTGTTAATACCTTCCCAAATCCAACAACTCCCACAATAACCGCGGATTCAATTGCCCTCAATCAAACTCAGGATCTTCTGCAGCCATACAATACTCTAGGTAGTTATCAGTTCCTCAAAAATTATATTTTAATTAATTTTTGGTTTTAATTAAAAATTTTTTATTCGTCGATAATTATTCTTCATTGTTAACTAATTTAAAATGTTAATTAACTGGAGAAATTTATTAATTAGAGACTTACTATTATTATTACTTTATTAATTATTAATTGAAAATTTTGCTTTTCTTTTTTTGCAAAAAAAAAAAAAAAAAAAAAAATTATAGTAACGGTGCCTACAACGCAAACAAGTTTGGATCAAGCTCTCTTGGCACTGAAGAAGGAACCCCATATACCAATGATACAAACATCACATGGCTCGACAAATAATTTATTAAATTTTCTACCACCCGATATTAAACAACCAGCAATGAATATGTTAACGACAAGTATGCCACCAAATATGGGTATGGGTAATATGAGTATGAGTGGTTTGAGTTTAAATTTACAACAGGGACTCGCTGCACAAATGTCAATGCAAAATCAACTTGACAATCTTCTTAATCAAAGTAGTGGTGCAGCAGCAGCAGCGGCGGCAGCGGCAGCATTACAAAATTCACATTCAATGTCAATCACACAACATAGTTCCAATGGATTTTCAAATATGAAACGTGAAAATTCACCATCAAATATGTTAAATAATAATGGCATTACTGGTTTTGCTGGTATGAATATGTCCGGTATGGTGGCATCAATTTTTGATCCTATCACACCGCTTAATACAAGTTTGCCAATGCAAATATCACAGTTGCCAGTGAGAAAAGAAGAGAGGTCATCGTTGCCGATGAATCAACCGCAAATGCATCCGAAAATAGACGGTGAGTTCGTATTGCTTTTTTTTGTTTAATTTTTTAAAATATTTTTTTCTTTTATTAGCGCTTGAAAAAAAGATTCCCTTTCCTAGTTCGGTTAACTGACAAATAATATCTAGAACTTTTTTTCTTTTTTTTTTGTAATAATTAGAATTTATTTGCTTTAGAATTCGTTTAATAGAATTTATATTCAATTGAATTTCAATTTAAGCATAATTGTTCTTTAATTGAATATTCACTTAAGAAATGTTTCGTTTAACCAAATTTACATTCAGTAGAATTTTTCGTTTGAATTTTTAATTATTAATTTCAATAAATAGAGATTTAAAAATAAAAATAATTAATAATTAAGATAAGGGAAAATTTGGTAAAGGAAAGTGTATTAACAATTTTACAAAACTAAAAAAATTAACGCTTTTTTGCACGTAGTGTTTTTTTCCATGTATATCAATCACAATATGCTAACTGCTTACTAATTCTCTTTATGATGCTGGTCCTCTAGTGGGAGGTTTTTTTTCAGACATGGCAGCATTGGGATTACCGCCAATGAGTAATCATTCGAGTTCTCAAAAAATGTCCACGGAAAAAAGAATGAGTCCTCCTGATTCGAAAAATTCTGCCTCTAATTTTGCATCGGCATTTAAATCTAAGGTATGTTTAGAAAATTGGAAGGAATTAAAAAAAGAAATTAGGAAAATTAATTTATTATTTCATGAGTAAATAATTTTAAAAAACAAATTTTTTTTACAATTCTTTTTTATTATTAGTTTCAAAGATTTTTTGTTATTAATTGAGAAAATTGATTTATTTTTTAAAAAGACTGTGGAGCAGAAGCTTCAAACCGCGTGGTCATCATTAGCACAATCATCAAGTCCACAATCAACTGCTGGTCGAGGCATTATGAATGCAGCAACAGCAGCTGATACTTTCAATCAATTCAAAAAACAAGCAAAAGAAAAGAACGACAGGGTAATTATTTTTTTCTTCATTCTTAAAATAAAAGGAATTTTTTTTTTGCAATTTTATAATTGAATACCTAATTTAAGAAATAATTTTTTTAAATCAAATCTTAAATTATTTTATTTAATTTTCAATATGGAAAAAAATATAAAGTAATTTTTACTATTTACAAAGTAAAATCTGAAGTATCCGAAACTTCTGTGCATTTCTGGCAAATTTTATTTCGGAAATATAGTAAAAACTACTATTTCCGGAGTAAAAGTTGCTAGAAATGCGCAGAAATTCCTACTTTAGAAGTAGTAAAAATTACTTTATTTTTGTTTTTCATTTTTCTCATTGAAAATTTTAATTGCAATTTAAAAAAAATGCTTTTTTTTTATTTTTGTTCATGTTTTTGAAATTTAATTTTTATATGTAAACAACAAAAAATTGACAATTAACAGGCAAGAGCATTAATTGAACAACAGGAGAGAAGACAGCAGAAGGAACAGGCAGAACGTGAGAGAATTCGTAAGGAAAATGAAAAGAGAAAAGAAAGAGAGGAGGAGGACGCTATGGAGAAGGGAAGAAAATCGGTAGATCATCAAAGTGCGGTACTTACACCACCATCGAGAGCTGAGGATATTAGAACATCGACAGATGACAGTAATAGTCCAAGTCATTCTTCTGGTCAGGATCGTTCAGCGGCCGAGAGAGAACGACAGAGGCTACGCGAACAAGAACGTCGACGTCGAGAAGCGGTGAGTTTTAAAATTATTATTATTATTCTTTTTTTTTCAATCAAGAACAATGAAATAATTTAATAGAAAAAAATGAAATTTAATTTTTTTTTAAATTATCATTCTTGTCGTTTTCTTTTATTTCTATTTTTCGTATATAAATAGTAAACTGACAAATGCATGGAAAAAAAGTGGTAATGACAAACAAAATCAAGAAAGGGAAAATAAAATTGTAGTTAAAAATAAATATTAGAGAATTTTTCTCTTTTGTACATTTTCTTATGCAATCGATAGATCATTTTTTTTAAAAATAAAGCGACCTGCTTTTTTTGTCGCTTGTGAAAGGATTTAAAAAAAATCAGAAGGGGGACTCGTCCAAAAACTAGGTAAATTTGTTATTTCAGATGGCGGGCCAAATCGACATGAACATGCAAAGTGATTTGATGACTGCGTTCGAGAATTCATTATAATGTTATTATAAAATGCTGCTGCTCACAATATTGTTGGAGCCTCGGAAGCCAGGCAGGATTTGGCGAGAGACGTTTCACATAAAAATTCAAAGTTGGACGATACCACAGAATCGTGTTTAATATATACTGTTAATAATTAATGACTAGTGATGTTAAAATAATAATAATAATTAAAAAACTGATTCGATACAAAATTTGATCAGTGCTCTAGCGCGATGATGGTGGTGCAAAAAAAAAGGAAAATAAATTCCCCAAAAAAAAAAGAATGGTGAAGTGTTATTCGACTCGAGAATAACAAAAAAGACACTTAATTAGAAAAAAAATTGTCTCACAATGACGCGAGGAATCTGCGTGTAAACAATTTTTTTTTTTTTTTTGGACACAATTGTGACCATAGTAGATTAAAAAAAAACGAAACAATACCTACAGATACTTCGAGATATTGCTACAAATTATGTTAAAAATAATTTTCCGATTTTCATAAGTATGTACTTTATGTAAATTTGGAAATGAAATAAGACGAACGCACCTACTGAAAAAAGTGATGCGTTTGCGTGCGAGAAAGAGATATATGAATAATTGTGATTTTCGTGTGTCGTGAAAAAGGGTTGTAAGAGCTGTGTACATTTAGTTAAGTTTTATATTTTTCCACTTTCAGTCATTGATTGTTGGTAGGGATTTACATTGTTTTTTTTTTTTTTTTTTTCTTTTTTTTGCCAATAATTATCTATTATTAATAATAACTAGCTCTATATAAATATATATTGTGGATCATTATATTTTTTGAACGATTAATCAATTCTCGATTACGAATTCGACTAATTTGTATAAAGAAAAAAAAATCAACGTAATCGTGAAAATCGTGATAGTTCAGCGAAAAGAAAAACCTAAGTCCAAATGTGTACAAAAATGTGCACGAAATAAATGGAAGAAAAAAAATTTTTTTTTTCCTTGTGAACTTAAAAAAAAAAAAAATCGTGGACGTTTGTTATTTACTCGGTTTTCTTATTCCGAAATAAATTTAAAAAAAAACGCGCGATTTGCTATATACTGAAAAAAGTCGTCAATTATTAAATAAGCATAAAAAAAGAAATCCTCTGTCGGCTACGAATTTACCAGACGTATGTTCCTATTTTCAAGTTTACATGCGTCGAAAATATTATCGATGTGGATGCATCGATTTTTATAAAATTTGAGAATCAAGACCTTTACATTTTGGAGATTCTTGAAATGGAAAAAAATACCCGTGAAGAAAAATAACGCAAATTTTCTTCCACTTCCCCACCCCCAAATCTCTCCAAGTGGCTAAGAAAAAATGATCAACTTTCTTCGCATCGTTTCGAAGGGGCAATATAATAATAATGTATATTTTTTCGGCAATCAAGAAAAAATGGGCGCAAAATAAATTGGACGAAAAATAAATAAAGGGTACAAAAAGACTATATATATATAAAATATGAAAATTAAAAAATAAGTTTTTTGTGAAATGATGTAAATTTTGTTTTCAATGGAAGAGAGAGAGACATGAAAAATGATGAATTTTTATTTCAAGAGTGTGTTACTCGAAATTTTCTAAACATAATAATAATTGTAAGAGCGCAAGAGGCAGAGTTAATTTATATATGAGCTTCGATTGATTGCTATTAATAATTAAATTATTGAAACAAAACAAAAAATAAGTCCTGGTCCTTTTGTAGCTAATTTACTCTCCTCGTCTTCCCTGGTGAAAAAAAAATATTAATTATCCTTTTTTCTCTTTTTTTCACCAAGGTTTCGTTCTCAAAAATCAATTCGAGAAAAAGAAAATATATATAGCACAAATTTCTAAGTGTATTTAGGTAATTAACTAATTTTTTTAAAATTAATTTCGTCTTTTTTTAATAACAATAATTATTTTAATTAAAACAAATTGAATAACGAAAAAAAAAATTTACTCGAAGCATTATTGATGTTTATAATGATTACTTCAATATAATTTATAGAAAATAGCGCAGAATGGATGAAAAACGCGTGTTTTTTTTTTCTTTGCCGACGTAAATCAGTTATGATCATATTGTAGTTGTTATATTTAGATATATTTAGATCAAAAGTTTATATTTAAATAATATAAATGAGAGAAAGAAATTCTATGAAAAGGAAAATTAGTCATTTTTTGAGAACAAGTAAAATTGCGAACATGGAGGTGCAAATCAATTTTTTTCGTTTTGTTAACGAAAAATTCTATCTTTAAAAAAAAAAAACAATGAACGTAACAAATAGTTTGTTATTTGTTTCGTTATTTCGTTACCCGAATAGTATTTGAAGCTCAAAATCAAAAATAAATTTACTTTTTTAAAAAAAAAGTTGCATTTTTCTTTTTTAATTCGTTTTTTATATACATTTTTATTTTTTTATTCCCTGACGTATTTTTTTTTTGCTAAAAATATTTTTTTTACATCGATTTTTCTTTATTACGTTTTAACTTTGAATGTCATTACATTTTTTTACAATTGTCAAAAAGAAAAAATTTTAATTTTTTATTTTTTTTTTAAGGACAAACTTGTCGACAAGATTTTTAATAATTTTTTAAAAAATAAAATTGAGAAAAGTTATTTCTATATTCTTTGAATACTTTGAAATTCGAATACTATTCGATAAAAAAAAAAAAATTCGAGAATCAAAGGAAATCTTTGGAAAATATCTCTTTATCTTTCTTCCATATATAGTTATAGTCAAATGTGAAAAAAATTAAATTAGAGATTTCAATGAGCTTCTCGATGGGTTTTTTTAAGAATTTTCACAATATATTTTTTGAAAAAAAAAAATTCAGTTGTGTATATTAAATTTTCTAACTGAATTTTCATGTCTTTCCAATAAATTGTTATAGCTAATTTATAAAAGTTTATTCATTTCACGTGATAATTCTAATAATTTTCCCATCGAGGGATTTATTATTTCTATTTGATTCTCAAGAATAAATTACTAAACATTTTTTTTTACTACAAAGAAATTTTGGTTTTCTGTTTTTTTAAAAATAAAATTATATCAATTAAATTATTATTGTAGCTTTTAAAAAGGAAAATATTTTTTAAAAAGACGAGAAAAATAATAACTCGTGTTAAACTCGCATTTTTGGTTTTTAATAATAAAAACTAACAATTTCATCTCTTTTTTTTAAAAAGAAAAAAATAGAATAATGCTGTGAATAATCAAGTGTGTAAGTGTAATAGGTAGAGTGTATAAAATATGTGGTTTATAAATGTAAATATTAAAAAAAAAAGGTAAAAATCATTGGCAGCAATTAAACACACAGTCCTTAAGATAAAACCCTTGTATAAAGAATATAAAAAACAACAAAACAGACACACCTCTATTGTATTGTGATAAGGTTTGTAATATTTAAGAGAGGCCGAAAGACGGATTGTGTAAGCTACGAGATCTCAAGCCTAAGTTTAGATTTAAAGAAAAAAAAATTGAAACGACGATAATCGTAATTATGTAACGCGTATATAAGTAACACCAAAATCACTCCATTGTATGAAAAAACAGAAGTAATTTTTTATAATAAGTTCCACGGGCGCACATCATTTTCCAATGGCACATTTCAATTTTAGCAGAAAAGAAAAAAAATAAAACAAAAAACTTATTACTACTATTATACTATTATATATACTTATTATAATACTAACTAAACGAACGTTAAAAAAAATGGTTGTACATAAATAATAATAATTTTAAATAAATGGCTAAAAAAAAAGAATAAATAAATAGACCCTCGATGTTGTTAAGTAAAAGGACGAGTGTTTTTTTTTCACTGCGTATTTATCAATTTCCCAAAAATTTGGGCTTTCTTTTATCCTTTCTTGATCCTTACATCCATTCCTAATTTGCAATATTTAATTTCAAATCTTAATTTAAAAAAATATGTTTTGTTTCAAATTTTTACATTTTCCATAGAATTACGAGATTCTTTTATAATAATTTCTAGTTATTTATTTCTTTACCTATTTTTTCATTTTTATTTGCCTCCTTTTTTTGATTCTTTATCCCAATTCCTTTTTCTATCAGATTTAAAAATTTTTAAATTTTGTTGATAACAGTTTTTTTTTATTTTGTTGACAATTATTATTTCGAAAATTTACATAAACAACGCTCATTAATTTTGAGAGTGTATTAATTAGTTTATATTTAAATTTCTATAGAGTAAAATTTTGCTTCAGTAAATTTTTGAAAAAAACAATTTTCCTTTTACTTAGTAATAAAATAATTAATAAAAAAACCACTAATAAATGTATTTGCCGATACTCTATGATAAATAAAATAAATATGTATAACATTAGATTTATATATAATATATAAAGTTAACAAAAGGACAGGACAAAAAATTTTGTCAATCAGAAGCAATTATTATATAAAAGAAGAAGAAAAAATCCCCTAATGTATATTTTACCTTCCCTAATTTGCAGTTTTTACAAATTATTATGTACAATAAAAAAGGGATTTGTCTTTTTTGTGAAATAAAAAAGTCATCCATATTATATAGAAAAAAAACGAGTGCCGAGTGCGAATTTATCTCACATCTAGTTTTCCTTCGAGTTAAGAAAAAATTATAAAAACAAAAACAATAGAAAAAAATATGTATGTGAAACAAGAAATGAATGTGTGAGATTCACTGTGTATACTATTAAAAATTAACAAGGTAACACATATTATATAATATATAATTATATATTGTCGTATATATATATATATATATTATATACATATATATATATTATTATAACATCCAGAAATATGCTTATTACCTTCGAAGGTTGAACTATTAATAACTAATTGAAAGTAATTGTGGTAGGTTTAATTTAAAAAAAAAACCTTTCATAAATATTCCCTAATTATTTATTCATCTTTCTTATTATTTTAAGTTCAATTTATATACCTATATATTATATAATTTAAGATATATAAGTTATTTTGAATTATTATATTAAGTTGAATAAAAGAGAGTAAGATAGTGAAATTGTTGTTTCTTTTAAACAAAAAAAAAAAAAAAGTTTCTCTTTAAATTAATTTTTAAGATTTTTTTTGTTGTTGAAGCTTAAATCTTTGATATTCTTTTAATCTCACCGCTTGTATTCGAATAAATCCTCCAGCATCTTCTGGTTGAAAATCTCCCTTTATATCCATTGAAACAAGACTTTCGTTGTAAAGTGAAATTTCACTTGAACGTCCCATTATGATGACTGTAATTGATTTTTTTTTCTTTAAATTATTTCTATTTTTTATGCGTTAAAACAAAATTTTATAAATAAAATTTAATCACTGAAACACGAACCATTTCCTTTATAAAGACGAACTCGAACCGTTCCATTAACATATTCTTGAGATGTTTCCAAACAAGTTTTAACAAAATCGCATTCAGGTGAGAACCAAAAACCTAGAATTTTATTTTATTCAAATAAAATTAAAAGAAAAAATTAAATAAAGTGAAATTATTATTGTCATATTTTTAAATTCATTTAAACTAACCATTGTAAACGTAATCTGACATTTTATCAGAAAGATAAAATTTAAGTCTCAGGATTTCTTTATCCAGTAGAAAAATTTCCAAATCTTTATGCGCCTCGTGAAGAATTTTAGCTCCCGGTGATTCATAAATTCCTCTTGACTTCAATCCAATATATCTATTTTCAACAATATCAATTCTTCCAATTCCATGATTACCACCGAATTTATTAAGAATTTCCATAATTTTCAATGGTCCACTAAAAATTTCATTTCTTTCACAATCCTTAATAAAATTAGGAACTCCTTTAAGGAAATTAATTTCTATATCTTGAAATTTATCAGAAGCATCAATTTGATCTTTTGTCAATTTATACAAATTTTTTGGAGCAGAATTATTCGGATTTTCAAGAATTCCTGATTCATAGCTGAAAAAAATCAACACTTTCAAAATCATAAATAATTTTTTTAATAAAAAATTTATAAAAAGAAGAAAATTCAAAAATAAAATAGAAATACAGAAAATAAAAGAAGTGTAGGATAAAATTTATAAATTTCATTAATATAAAAAAATACCTAATATGCAAAAGATTTGCATCCATACTCCACGGATCTTTAGGTGTTGCTGATACTGGAATTCCATTTTTTTCAGCATATTTCAATAAATCAGATCTTCCTTGAAATCTATCAAAAAATTCCGCTTCTCTCCATGGGGCAATTATCTTTTTTTAATTCATTTTAAATTGTTTGAAAAAATAAAATAAATTAAAATTTTCTCTTTTATTTGGTTTTTTTGTTTAAAATCAATAAATTAAAAAAAAAATAACCTGCACTTCTGGATAAAGTGTATAACAACTAAGTTCAAATCGAATTTGATCGTTTCCTTTGCCAGTTGCTCCATGAGAAATAATTTTCGCATTTTCTTTTTTCGCTACATTAATTAACCCTTCGCTAATACAAGGACGTGCCAATGATGTTCCTAGCAAATATCTTCCTTCGTATAATAATCCACATTTTATCAATGGCCATACATAAGAAATGATGAATTTTTCTTTTAAATCTTCAATAATCACCTTTAAAATATTCCATCGATGTTGTTATACATTAAAAAAAAATTAATTAAATAAAATCTTTTCCCTAATGAGGAAGCAAAATATTTTTTTCAAATTTAAAAAAATACCTTCGAAGCACCTATATTATTTGCCTTTTCTCTAACAGCATCAAAATCATCTTCTTGACCAATATTAGCCTATAAATTAAATTTGTTAATTGATTTTCTGAAAATGCACAATTAAAATAAATATTAAATTAAATATTATTCTTTTAATAATTTTGATTTTAAATTATTTATAATCAAAACCGAAAATCTAATTGCAATTTTTGAAAATCGCTAAATTATTTATTGTGCTTACCACGTAAACAATTACTTCGTATCCTTTATCAATTAACCATTTTAAAATGCAAGAAGTATCTAAACCACCACTGTAAGCCAAAATAATTTTCTTTTTTAATTCCGACATAATAACAAAATTAGTAAACTCAAATTGAATCAACTTTTTGCAAAATATAATAATCATACGAGAAAAATACAGTGAAAAGATAATATGTTTGACCTTTGAATCTAAGATAGCAAAATATTTTCAATTAATTTCTCGCCATTTAAATAGTTATAAAAATACGAATAATCGAAAAAAAAATTCCTTAATGGCAAATAATTATTAACATATTAATGAATAAAGCCCCAAAAATGAAGTAATGTAGATATTTTTTTAAACTAAAAACTAGTGTAAAAAATATTAATGTTAAGAATATGGTTTAATAAATTAAATTTTACTTTTTTAAAAATGAATTCAATAGAAGGATTTTTTGAGAGAAAAAAATGCTTTTTAATATTACACTGCTGTGTAGGCCTTTATAAGTATAACACTTTGACTTGTGCTACAACTACAAACATACATATATTTTTTTTTCATAATTTATAAATATCATAAACTCTATAATAATATCGTTGCTATATTAATTGCAACGCGTATTAACGTATTAATTAACTTATTAAATACATGAACGATCAATTATTTAACAGACAAAAAAAAATGTTCATTGACCAAAAAATGATCCCCCTATGTAGTCATTTTGACCTATCGACAGTTCAACTGTTTCTGCAGTTTCTTTTTCATCATCATTATCATTATCTTCCTAAACATATAAATACTCTACAGATTCTAGATTGAACATTATTGTAATTATCATTATCTATATTATGTACTTGTTAATTCATCTTTGCAATGACTTCCAGCATTGCTTTCACATTATTTTTTTTTGGGCTTGTGCAAAGAGTGTTAAATTGTTATACACAAAGTGAAATTATTATTATTATTATTTGATTTTGCTGAAAGTGCTCTTTAATAAAAGTTATTAATTAAAATCTACAAATTCCATTAGTTACTCTTAAGGAGCGAAAAATTGTAAAGATTCAAAAAAGCTAATAGAGATGTACAATTTATCTCATTTCCAGAAAGAAAAATGCATCAATTTTTCAAATTTCTAGATTAAAAATTCTAATATATATATATTATGTATATAGTGAATTGAATACTGATTGACTTTCTTTTTATCTTTTTTTATTTTAAGAATTTGATGCGATTTTCGTTCTAGAGGAGAATTTTTTTTTTTTTTTTTTTTTGTTATTAACAACGTTTAGGAAAAATTGATATTTTTTTCAGTATGAACGCTTTCAACGCAATTGCGTGGATTCGTTACTTTCTGAGATGAAGATTTCATCACACACATTTGCGAAAATTCTTTTTTTTTTTAAGTCTGCATCCCCCCCTTGACTAAAAGAGCATTTTTTTTTTTTTAATACTACAAAGGTTTCAAAAGCGATTTTACACGCGCTAATTCAGCCTTCAATTCAATCATCATTTTCTCTAGATATGAAATTATGACATTAATTAAAGAAAATAATTTGATAATTCGAAATATCAATTTCAATTAATTCAAAAATTCAATTTCAATTTAAAAATGAAAAAACGAAAACTATTAATTTAAAAAGAGAAAAAAATCAGGACAACAAAAATTTATCACGATTCTCTTTCGCGATATTATAAACTTGGAATTAGAAACAAAATAAAATGGAGTAAATTTGTATTTTTTTTAAAATTTTCTCCAAAATACTGTTTTTTTTACGCGAATAGACATCAGTGTTGCCAACGAGTAATCATTAAAAATTCTCTTCGTACAGGCACTTTTATACCAGTTGATCTCTCGATACTTTCGAATCTTGAAGAGATTCAAAGAGTCATTTGCCATTTGGTTAGACATTTTCTTTTTTTGCTTTTTTTAACAGTCTCTCTCTCTAAAAATTGGATCATCGTGAATCCATTTCTCTCTCTATTTATTTATGAAATCCAATCGTTTTAAGCGCGACTCAATCTAATTCAATTGACACAGAGTAAAATTTTCTAAAGTTACTATTATATAATAATAATAATATTAGTTTCCGCGATTTAAACGATTAATCGACGAAACGCAGCTGGTATTACTGATGGAATCGTGAACTATATAATTTTGATGTTATACATAACTGAATTTGCGACAAACACTTTTGGAATGTTGATCATCCTCTCTCCAGACAACGAAAATTTAATATTCATTTACGAACAATTCAAATGGAGCTTTGATAAATCCTCCAGAAACGATTTTGGCGTTATTATATGCGAAGATCCTATAAAAAAAATTTTATTATTCAAATTGAATATTATATTTCTAATTTGTCTAATTTTTCAAATATTGTTTAAAATACAAAATTAATAAAATAAAATTCAAGGTTCTACATTTTAAATTGCAATTATACAGAATTTGAGAAAAGAAATTAATTAATAACATACCAACGATGACTTCCCAATTTTTCAGAGCGTTCGTTACTTCATAGGCGCAACGAATTTCGGAAAAACTTACACCACCGACAATAAAAACAATTAATCGAGGAACGTTTTTCACTGTCTGCTGTCCCTTGTCCTTGTGCCAATGTCCATATCTTACACTAGAGAAGAATATACACACAATTATAATTTAATAATAAAAAAAACATTCATAAAATTGTAATTAAATTTTTTTTTTAAAATAAAAATTATGTCAAATTTCCTTTTTCTAATTGCTAAAATTTAATTTTAATATTTATTTACCTTGTTGGTGCATGATAACCAGAGCTAGTTGCTCTTCCACCTAAAAATGGAAAATGTTTCGAATCCAATTTATCCTCAATGGAATCTTCCATAATATCTTTAACGACTGGCGTCCAACGACTCATTTGGTATGTTTGTTCTGTGATTCTTTCTTTTCGTGGTACATTGTATAATTTCTTTCGATTACCCTAATCAAAAAGTACAAAAAACTATTTAAAAGGACTTTTTAAATTTTATTTATTAACATTTTTTTGTTTTAATTTAATTAGTTTTATCATGTATATAAGTTAAAAACTTACATCAACAACGACATTCAAACCAAGATTTGCCATATTAATAATCGTTTGTTTATCCTCAGGCGATAATTGTGCATGATGTACAAGACGATTTAAATTATCCTCAGGTAATCCATTTTTACTGAGCACATAAAGCATAATAATACGCAATTTATCCACATTATTGACATTTTGATCGAGTAAAATTGGAGTTATATTTCGCATATGATCTTTTATTCTCTCGCCCTCAGCATCTGTTCCCATTGCCAAGTCCTGAAAAAACGATTTTTAATTTTGTAATTTTATTAAAATATAAAATATTCAATAACTTTTTCAATTGTTTTTTTTTCTATTTTCAAGACAATTATTCTTTTATCACCTGTTCGACTTTACAGAGTTTATCGACATTTCCCTGATATCGTTTCATACAATCTTCAGCCAAATGTAAATGCGTTGCATATTTACTCAATTCCTTTTGATATTGTGGCATTTTCTTGATCATTTGCGAAAGATCTCTCATAGTTTGTTTATCACCTTGTGGCATTCTCTTCGATTCAGTGAATTTCTTCAAATTTTTCGTAACATTCCTGTAATAACATTTTTTTAAAAAAGGTTTTCTATTTTTAAAACTACTTTCCATTTTCTTAAAGTTTGAAAACATTTGCCACTTTATGTAAATTAGAGAATTAAATTTAAAAAAAAAATCTTACTGTGAAACAACAGCAATGTGCTGATGTCTAAGTTCCACCCATAAATCGTCGTTCTCATCTAAAAGAACTTCTTTCTCTTGTCCAGCAGTGGCTTCGTATCTAAATTATATTTAAAAATGAAATTTATATGAATTTCATATCAAAATCGAAAATAAAATTGGATAAACTGAATAAAATTAAAAATAATTGAATTTAATATAAATTTTTTAAATTTATTTCTTACTTGTAAACGTCATTCTCAATTTCAAGTAAATCATATGCCATCGCTTGTAATGTGAGTTCATGTAAAAGAGGCGAAACGGAATCGAAACCACGATCAAGAATTAAAAGATGAGAACGAGCTTTTTCTGGACCTTCGCCCATGGTTGGTTCATCAGCTTTGTAAGCATCCAATTTTTGTTGAACCATCTGCGCCAATTCGACATTGCGATCAAAATCACTAGAAAAAAAATACAAAATTATACTTTTGTTCTTTTTTTTAATTTAATTTTTTTTGTAAAAAAAAAAAATACCTTCGATATCGAACTGACGGATATTCGCCAAGAGTAGCGCATAGAGTTGCAATTTGTTCAGCAATTCGTTCCATATTAGCACTACGAACATGATGTAATGAAGGATTATAGAAACAGGCAAATGTATCTCTTGAATCCAATGAGAAAACCTAAAATTCAAAATAATAATTTAATATTAATTATTATCACTAAATGTCTTATAATCTATTATGAAATTTCAGCGGCACTGCAAAAAACTTAAATTTAAAAAAGAAAATTATATAATTTTTATATGAAAAAAACAGGAGTAACATTTTCAAAAAGCAAAATTGCAGACAAAGAAACAAGCGCCATAGACACAAGACAAAGTATGTTAGCAAATTAATAAAAAAATAAGGTATTAACAATTTTTTTTTAGTGTAAATTTGAAAAAAGCGAAAAGATAGGAGAAAAAATCACTTTTCAAGTTATTCTTTGTTTCACCTGAGACTCATACGGCAAGAAAGCGATGTTGATCTCTTTGAGTGTTTTGATCTTTTTAGCGGCGAGTGACTTGCAGATATCATTGAACAGCTCCTCTGGACACACTATAGGCAAGTGCAAGCATGAACGTAACGAGACGTTAGTGAAATAACAATTTTTGTGAAAAAAAAGAAAGACAATGCTGTGAGTTGAATCTCATTTTGCAAATTTAAAAGAATTTTTCAATTATCTTAATGATACATTTTTATTATTTGAAAATTAATTAAATTATAGGTATTTCTCGTAATTTTGTATTTTGATTTATATTAATTTTCTTTTATTATAAAAAACAAAATATTATTAATGTTAATTCATTCCACAATCACCAAGCAGTTTTTTTTCTCTAAATAAAAAAAATTCTTTCTCTCGGTTATTTGTTTTAATTATAATTTTTATAATCAAGCGTGTTATCTCCTGAAATCAACCATGTTCCCTTAGTGTTAGATCAATCAAAATTGTTAATTAACATTCATTATAAAACATTATTTTTAAAAAAACGCTGTAAAATGTAGTTTAGACAAATGATCAGACCAAGGACATCACAAGATTAAAAGATTTAGTAAAAATTTTCAAATAAAGAACCAAATACCCTTGAAACTATTTTAAATTACCTGTTCCTCATAGGGTATAAAAGCGATGTTGATCTCTTTTAATGTTTTAATGTACATAGTTATCTTCGCGTTAGCAATATCATTGATCAGATTATCAGGAGAAGCTGTAAAGAAATAAACTAAAATTCTCTGAAAAAGTTTGAAAATCTTTTTCTTTCTTTAAAATAAAAATTAAATAAATAATAAAAAATGATAGAGAATAAAATTAATATATTTTTTCGGGAAATTTAAAAATTCCTGTTCAAAAATGCTAATAAGGAAAAATTCAAATTATTTTATAGATTTAATTTGTGTGTGTGTGTGTTTTTTTTCTGTTGTGTAATTAAAAAATGTATTTTTTTATTATTATACCTTCGGTGAAATAAACGTGGGCATTTTTATATTGAAGTCTGCCTGGATTACTGAAGTCATCGATTAATTTTGTCACTGATGAATTACTTGGTGTTATCAAATAAACAGCCTCCATTGTTGGTAATGGTTCACGTTTCTTGTGAATATTTTCCACAAGTGTTATACCCTGAGCACTGATATCGTGCATTTTACAACATGCTGACACCATTCTCATTGACAATTGATCAACAACGAGAATTCTCCATTCCATACCACCGGTTGTTTTCTTTTTTTGTTTAATGACTTCATTCATAATTTCTGCAAAAAAAAAAAATATAGAAAACTTATTAATAAGAAAATAAATAATTAATTCTATATTAATTTTCCCGGGAAATTCATTACATTTTTCTATATTATAATAGTTATCTGAAAAAGAAATCAAACATTATTAATCCCCTAAAAGAAAGGTAAAAAATATATAATCTTAAATAAAATCTATCTAAAATAAGAAATAAATAATTAAAAATATATCTTAAATAAAAATTTAAATGATTAATTAAAAATTTCAATAAACTTGAAAACATTTCTAGATTTTTCCTTAAAAAAAAAAAAAAAAAAAAATTGAATACTCTGAAAAAGAAAGTGCCATTGAGAAAAATAAGCTCATGTGATGAAATAGCAGGAAATCTTTTGGAGCTTTTGTATTGATCGCCCTTACGAACCGATGACGTCACATCTGTCAACCCTGCAGTTGGATTCCCTGTGCCCTGACTTTATTTCTAAGAAAAAATCAAAAGAAAATTTACACAGAAATCTATAAAAAAAAAAAATCTATAATTTTCCCTTTAAAGAAACATGTCCCAAAAATCTAAAAGAAAATAAAAACATAATATGAAAAATGTAGTATAACAAATTTTAATATAATTTAATAAAACTATTTTTATAAAAAAAATATTCCAATAAATAACCTTTAGAAAAATGTAAATTAAAATAAAATTTTCTATTTAATACTCTGCATCCTTTGACATTTTTATTTTTAACCAGTACCAAAAATAGGTCTATTGATTCAGTGTGAAAAATGTCAACGAACCTTCTCACGTGCTTCTTGAATAATAATTGAATTCCATTGTTGCATTAGTAAATAAAACAATTGACAAACAATTTGCCCATTATTAATAATAATAATTAAAACAAAAAACAATCAAATAAACGCAACGTAAACAAAAGTTACATTATTACATTGGATCAAAATAATTAATAATAAATTAACCAATATAGTGAAATTTAACAACTTAAAACTATTTCTATATTATTTAAAAACAAATATTAAGAAAATAAAAATATATTCAGTGTTTTGATATGAATGAGTTTAAAAAGAAAACAATGTTTTTTTTAATCCATATGATTGTGACATTTAAAGAACGGGAAATTTTAAAAGTCTTAAAATTCTAGAATTTATTTTAATTACAAGTCTGTTAAAGAAATTAAAGTTTTTTTTAAATAAAATGACATTTTGCCCAGCAGCAGTTTATACAGTGATGAAGTCATCAAGTGACGAACGCCCACCAAAATACTACGTCATTTTTAATTAAATCGGAAAGATAAATACACAAAAAAGTATAAAGCATATAATTAATATAAATTAGAATATTTTTTAAAGCATTTTTTCTTCAATTTAGACATAAGGAAATCAAAAGAAAAACAGTAAATTATATTAAATACTCACTTTGTCCAACCTGTGATTTTAACGCCATTTTGACAGTACTGAGTTAATTTCAAAAATTGCCGCCAGGGGTCGTGGCAATCGACGACTGCGCATAACTTCGCGCCAAAAGTTTAGTAAAAATTGTTCATCGACAGGAGAACGTTGTTTAACCAAAGTTAATGATTTTTTTCATTTATATTTTGACTCTAATTAAGTAAATTAAAAGTAAATTCATTAAATTTCGAAGGTAGTATTTGTAATATATTCAGTGAACATAAATTTGTCTCCTAATTACATAATTAGAAGCAAATATCGAAATTCCAAAATTGCTCCACACAATTGTTTCTATTCTCCCTTTTTCTAACGGTTTTTTCACAATTCTAATTGTTGCAATTTTTTCTTTTTAGACGTCTATTCTTTAATAATCTTAACAATTATACAATACTGAGGCATTATTTAACTTTTAATTTCTTTAATAGCAAGAATTCAATAAATTTTTATCTATAAAATCAATAAAATAGTAAAATAATAAAAATATTAATTTTTGCTCAACGCCAAAAATTTATTAATTTTCTCAACAGTTTAATAATAATAAACCCTAAAATCAAGTTTTCTAGTCGAAAATAACAAAGATTTGACGAAATATTAAGAGAAAGCTACAATATATTAGAATTTTTTAATAACTTAATTTTGAGGTTATGTGTGAACTGCACATAAATTTTAATGAATATTTTATTGTTCCATCTAATTAAAATGTTTCGAATCTGTGAAATTATGCAAAAAAAGTCTATAATAAAGTTCATTTTTTCTATTTGGAGAAAAATCATTAAATTTGTAATTGTCGGTATAGTGGAATTTAGTGTTACCATCAGTGTCGGTAGAAACAAAATGGCGATCACAGCGCCACGGTTGGGCTTGGTGTTGAACAATCAGTTTAAATCCGGACGCCGGTTAGTGAAGTTGTTAGTGAACAGTTTTTCCATGTTTCTATTATTGTCGATCATTAATACTATTAATTATTCTCGAGTTTTATATTATTAAAATCAGTGAATGTCTCAAATGAGTTTTACGATGAGTGTCTCGGATGTTTTTTAATGCGCGATTTATATCTCGATTGTATTTCTTATGTAACGGGAAGTTTTTTCTTCTTTGTGTGATTAAGTGTACCTGTGCATAACCACGTGGATTTTTGGATTTGACAAGGGAAATTTGCCAAAACTGGACGGATGAAGATGGAGTACCCCTGTCGCGTGGAAGGTTGGCTGAATGTTTGTGGTATGTATTATTCTCATACTTTATACTCTTTTCAGTGATAAATATCTATTTTTGTGTCAGATCATTTATACAAAACGAAGAATATTTACTCTGAAAGGAGAAAAAATACCATTTTTCTTATGTTTTAATGTACTATTGATTTGTATTTCGTAATATTGATGTGGATTTAGAAATTTTGAGGTTAGGTTGAGACAGGTGTCTTGCTATGTTCAAAAATAGCTTTTAAAAAATAAAAGGTCAAATTCTGACTCGTTAGAAATCTTAACTGTTATCTAATTGATTAAATAATGTTTCGATTTTATTGACAAGTACATAATATTTATGTTAAAAATTAGTTATTTGCAAAATTCGTTTTTGGAGCCAAATAGAAAAATGTTCATAATTCTTTCTATTGGTTAATATTTTTTCAATTATTTTGTTATAAAAGTTTTATGTATATGAAATAAAAGAAATAATATGAAATTTATTATTCGGAATTTGAATAGCAAATATTTCAAAAAAAATGCATATAATTTTCGAGAGATATTCTTCGTTTTGGATGTTTTATATTGTCGCATGTAATTTTCATGTCCTCATATATACTTTATTGCCATGATCGTGAAAGAATACAAAATACAATGCAATCGTAAAGTGCAAATCGTTGACCCAAAAAACAAATATATTACTCATTATTTTGGAATGTGAATTCAATTCTGGAAATTTGACCTTGATGCATATGTGAACATATAATACTTATACAAAATGTTTTGTTGACATTAGAGAAAACGAAATCTTTGGTACTTTACTTTTATTTGCAAATAGAGATTCAAAGCAAACATTGCTGCCTTTTTATCTTATTCAAATAATGTAAATTTTATGAGGTAAAAGTCGAACATTTTTAGATATTATAAAGAAGAAAGAATTTCTTTTTATTCTTTACGTCATAAATATGTTAAAAGTATTTGCACCATATTTATTATTATCATTATTATAATAATATAATATTATTTTCTATTATAACTTTTTGTAATGGTAATTTTTTTAATGAAAAATTTTTATTTATTTTTTAATATATTTTTTCTGATCATTCTCGATATAATAATAATTTTTTTATTGCCTTTTTGAATGTGAAATTAAATCTTATTTACTGGGGTATGAGTGTGAAATGCTCATTTTAAAAAGAGTGTCTAATCCGGGTCCCCCGATTACTTCTCCCCTATATTTAATCCGACTTTATGTGCATTTGCTGACTTCTATTTCTATGCGAGATCACGTTACTGAAGAGATCAGATTCTGTAACATCGAATGCTTTTTGTTGTAAAAAAAAATTTATATGCGGGAATATATTCTATAAATGAACGTTTCTCTCTTCTTCTTCTTCTCTCATCGTATAAAGTGTTTTGACCATATCGTTGGGTTCAATTTTAACGACCGGCCATTCTGTTAGAAGAGGTCACGCGTCAGGTGTCCTTTCAAGTATCCTATATAGGGCCAGGGTGATATGTTTTGACACTCTAACAGAATAACGAGTGGCGTAAACACATCTGTTTTTATAAAAAGCCCCTCTCGACTTACATATATAGAATTACTTACTAATTACTATCCAAATAATACACACGTTTTATTTACGTTCTAAGTAATTATTTTTATTTCTTACTTTTTTTCTAGTGAGATTAAATTTATTATTATTTTTTCTATATTCATAAAAAATATAGGAAAAATATTTATTCCTCCTCTCATTGTGTATTGACTTGAGATCACTCACATTTGCATTGAAATTAAAACATTCCATTTACTATTAGGCTTAATTTACATTTGCAAAAGCTTCTCGCTCTCTCTCTCTCTCTGTCCTTACGGAATGGACATTTCATGTTGTACAATTTTGTACACATCCGTTACATTTCATTCTAATGGCATTTATATTCTTTTTTTTAATAGTCAAAGCGTGATAATTAATTTTAGGGAAATATTTTTGTTTTCTATGAAGAGAATGACAATAAAGGAAAATAAAATTGTTTTCTTTTAATTTTTGTTGTTTTCTTCTTTTTTGATCTGACTTTTAGGTTGAAATAATTGTCAGAAAGTTATGAGGGATTCTCTCTCTCTCTTTCTCGTTGACAAAACTCTAGGCGCACAGGTGTATGTGACACCTCTAATCAAGCACCATCAAGTACCTTACTTTTGTGTTGTGTTCATTGTTTCCGGAGGGTGGGGTGGGGGGGGGGGGACAAAAGCAGTTCGTGCCCACAAACACTCGTCGTCGAAAACCGTCTCTGGTCAAACACATTACTGCTGCATTTTCGCGTTGCTTTGTTCTCGTTTGCTTCGTCGTTTTGACATATACTACTATGAAACATATATATAGACTTTAAATTGTTCCGCTACTTTTGACGTATAAGTGATAAATAAATTTTCCCAAAAATTTATAGATGAAAAATCAAAAATAATAGGTATCTCTCAAAGGTTGGAAATTTTATTTTTCGTTTCCATTTTCAAAAATTACTTTTTTCTTTTCTAATATAGTGTATTGTAAAAAAAGGCACTTTTTTTTAGGGGGAAAAAAAAAGTTTTTATCTCTCCTGACAGAAAAATCCTAGACAGGAAAAATTTAGGGCTCTGAGGTATTTTCTCCCTTGTTTTCCGTATTCTTTTTCTCTTTTTTTTCTCTCTCTTTTTGGAAAAAAAGTGATAAAAATAAATCTTTCTTTTCTTAAATTGGCTAATATGTTTAGTTTTCCACCCCCTTCTTTTTTGCTGTAGTTTATTGCATTCTTTCATTCGGTTTAATTATTTATAGTGAAAATTTTTCCAAGATAAATGAATCCTATAGTTAAATATATATTATGAATTTATTCTTAAATCTTGAATAGATTGTATTGATCTCTCTTTTTTCATTTATGAATTCTTAATAAAATTTAAATCCATATTTATATTTCCTGTTACTTTTAGATGATTAAATTTTTTTTTTAATTATTGATTAAAAAAAAAAAATTTTCTATATTTTTTTTTCACTCTTTTAGTTTTTTTTTGTCGGTGATTGATATGAATCTAAAATACATTTACTGTAAGAAAATAATTTTTTTTACGTAACTATTTTTTCATTTAAAATCAAAATCTAATTAATGTGGTTCATTACAGTGATATTTTAGATCGTTTTTATTAGATTATATAGGCAAAGCAATTACACTTTAGTTCGCATTTGGTGTTTTGTATATACAGTATACGTTTTATCAAAGCAATTACAATCACTACTTCATTGTGTAATTTCATCTGGGTTCTCGGTACACCATATCAACACACAAAACTCAAAGCCGACTGTAACATTTGATCGTAAAGCTTGAACCCATCAGAGTTCAAGCTCACAACGAAAGACATACACCATACGCGATTACACGCCCTTATAGCTTAACTTCCATCACACATGGGATTTAGATTTTTTTCATCTCGCAACTTCCCATATCGCTCGTTAATGTTGTTCACATTGCTTCGTATCGTAAAATTTAGAAATTGTTATTTTATACCCGAAGTAGACCTTATTTTTATTATCTATTTTTTATATATATGTTTTAAACAAAGAAGGTTACGCCATTTTCAAGTAGGAGCTTTGTTTTATACTAAAAACTAAGTAGAAATTGATTCTCTGAATTCTTATGTAAATAATTATTTTCAATATTATATTTTTATTTTAAATATTCTCGTTATTTATATTTTATCCATTTATTTATAAATAAATACAAAAGAAATGTGTTTGAATTATATTTAGTCGAAATAGAAGCCGCCGGGAGCAAACAGTGAAATTAATATCGACTTGAATCGTTGAAGCGTTCATCTGAAGATTCGAT